GATTACTGTGAAGCGATGCATGCTAGTATCTTTAATTGGAGATGCCCACAATAAAAATAATAAAAATGTAACGAACGCACAATTATAACGCGCAAATATAAGATATTTGTTTTAGGATGGGGTTTTGAAATTTCTTTTTTTAATTTATTGCTTTTTAAAATTTTATTGACTTCTTCTTAGAGCAAGTTTTTTATAGTTAGAAAGTCATATTTTTATTATCTCTATTTTGTTTACTCCCTAATTTCGAGAAGGCAGTTATTTGGAAAATAAATCAGATTTTTAAATAATAGCTATGAAATGCTATTCGGTAGATTTGACAGTAGTTTATGCAATAAAAAGTTTGTATAAAAAACTGAACATAATTTTCTAAAATGCTTTCTTTTAGTGCTAAAATATTAGACTACGTATTCTATTATTGATAAATCGCTTTGGATATAGTACCTAATAAACATTTATGCGCTTTTTGAATTTAACATTTCGCCCTGTAGCTTACTATTTCGAGACACAAAAAATGCGAAATCTTTTACTAAAGTTATTTTTTTCTAATTAAAGAGTCTATACTTTAATCTAGATTGAGGTTGATGGTTTTTCTAGTGATTATTATCTCGATTTAAGCAAGCAACTAACTGCAAGTCAATTTGATGAACATATTTTTATATAGCTTGAAATATTTCGATTCGCTTGAATTATTATTATTACTACTATAATTCACACTTGTTGAGGAAGATTTTATTTTTTTAGAGTGATATGAATTTGAATGATGACAAGAAGAAACCACTACGCAATGTGTCCCTTAACCAAAAGAAAAAAATGTTGGTAATGCAAAATAAAAATAAAACTGAATCGGGTAAGTGGTACCTTGTGGTAAAATGAAAACTGTTATTTATAAAAAATATTGTTTCAGGTAACAGATTCAATGACCCAGAAGATTATTATGACTACTTAGAGGCACATTTAAAAAGCGAATACATTCAATTAAATAAACTGTTAAGCTGCGCTGAAAGTTTGCGAGTAGCATTAGCGAATAACCCATTAAGTTGGGTTGAAAAATTCGGTAGCCAAGGAGTCCAGCTTATTCTGAAAGTCTTGGACGTTGCTTTAAAAAAGTAAGTTCTATCTCTACAGGATGATTTCAGCAGCTCAGCAAAAACATTACGAGAGTGTTACATACATTATGGACAAAAAGATGGTCTTGCGGCTATGGCACACCTTCAGCGAGTATTTATTATTTATATCTGTACTTTTGACTCCCTAAAACGTACTAAAAACTGCGCAAAAAGGAATTAGACTTTTACAAGACTTAGACAAAGCACCTCGAGTTCCCCATTGAATTTATATGGGGAAAAGTTGTTTATCCTTCAAAAAACCGGTCTAAATTTCGTATTTTCTAAGTACTTCAGGTAAGAGTTTATTATTTTATTTTCTACGCCAGTATCAATAAGAATATTGAAAATGTTGCAAGTTAGTTTTTTCTGTTCTTTTTTCATTACAAAATACATGGCTTATTATTAAAATGTTACATTGATTGGCAATAATGAGCATTGAAAGCATTTAATTTCCATCCCAGTCTTTCGATTTTCAAGATTTGCATTAATTTTATATGGAAAAAACCTGTTAATTTGCTTATCCTTTGTAAAATCGGTCCAAATTTTGGATTTTCATTATTGAAGCCATTTTTTCTTACGTATTTTGAGCTGATGAATCGAATGCTCCCATCGGTTTTTCTTTAAGTATCACCAAATCTTGTATCTAAGTCAACAAATGGTTATAAGCAGAATAACTTGAAAAATGAGTGAAAAAAGGCAATAAATTGACCTGTAAGGACCATAATCATTCAATTATATATTTTTTCATGTATTTTGAGCTGCTGAATCCAGTGGTGCGCTTATTTTTTTCTACGTAGCGATAAAACGAGTTATAAGCCAAAACCGTCAAAAAACTTGGAAAAAAGCAGATAATTTCCTTGCTTCTTTTGTTTGTTGCAGTGCATTTCCGTCTTAGCGTTTTCCGACATCTGGTTTCTCACCTTTAAAACGCCATGTTGAATTTTGGATTGTTAGGAAATCTTTCCGCCCACAATAGCACAGCTTCTCTGTTATTATTTCTGCACTCTCCCAAAGTTAACCACGTGTCAACTTCCATATTAAAATTCTCTTCCATGTTTAATTACGATAACTTGAGGAAAAGAGCGTTAATACGTCAAAATTCTCAATTAACGCTAGCAGTGATGCGTTGCCGTTGATATGAAAGACAATTTGAAAAACCACTGACTTGTTTAATTGTATTTAAGTTCAATAAAACTTAAATGATCGATAATTGTGTAACCAGATGAGTAAAACATGCAAAAATTTGTACACATACGTGGTTTTTCATGTAGAATCAAATTTCAGAATAAAAAATATATCTTAAAACATGTCCCCCTGCATATATATTACTTTCAAACTTGTTTATAAATATATTCTTTAAAAAACTGGGCAGTATCGTGTATAACAGTGTCGTAATGTTTTTGAGTATATAGTATTTCTATATCTTCAGCTCAACTTTCTCAACTGAATATAAGCGTGTAATCAATGTATTTCATATCAATAAATTTTTTAGCAAAGATGTGAAGCTTCAGAATGAGTGTTTGAGATGTCTCGAAAAGTTCATGAACAATACCACTGGAATAAAACACTTTCTAGCAAATGTCAAAGGACACGAAACTGTAGCCAAGTGTTTGGACTACGAAAAGCCTCATGTAATGATTCAAGCTTTGAAGGTATTTTTTTCAATTTTATTTTACGAAGGAACATGTTATTAATTCACTGCCTGTTGTTAGATTCTTGCTCCGATGTGTCTGATTTCTTCTGAGGGTGAGGAGGATGGAGCCAATAAAGTTTTGTTAGCAATTACGAAAGTAGCAGAACATGAGCGAAGAGAAAGGTTTTTACCAATTGTCAATGGTATTGCCAAAAGTGATAATGCAGACTTGCAAGTAAGTTTACATTTAATTTAGTTGGTGGAACAAACCCAAAGGCAGTATCAAGTTTGTGAATTATTTCGCCATGTGGTAATTGTCCTTGACATAAATACTATTAGAGAACCACCTACGCCATCACTTGCAGGGCAGTCCATACTTTATTCACAGTATGTTTTGGACAACAAAATGCCATTTGTTAATTTTTTATTAACAATTTTCAACATCGCATTTTTTGTCGAAGTCGAAACGATTACAGCAATCTTAATGGTATACTTGGTTTAATTGCAGGGAATTGAATTTCGAAGAGAATGGGAGGTCGAGAGGACCGGAGAAGACTCGAAAAAAATCAGAAAAGTTCACGTTTTCGTAAAAAATTTACAACTGATTTTTTAATTTTACGACCTCCAATTTTAAGTAATGTACATACTTTATGTGGGCAAAAGCTGTACTCGGTCGGAAAAATAGTTTTTGTACAATTCCGTGTTGCCGAGGTCTCATTGCTCCTGAGATTGTCCAGTTGAGATTTAAAATATGGATGTGGAAACTAGACATGAGTAACAACAAAACGTATATTCCGGGTTTTTTATAAACTGTTTTTAAGTGTGTGAAACAGGGTCTTGAATATTAGTGGAAACAGCCGCACGCACGAAAGCGGCCGAGTGGTAGGGGACGCTGCTGGTTGAGGGGAATTGTTGAAACAAAATTCTTGCGTATTCTTTCATCAATTGTTAAATCTGAGTCAAAAATCGATTTTCTCGTGTTCATATATCCCAGAATCAAACAATAAGTCTATGAAAAAGCTGCAGTAGATGCTGAAATAATTTAATGCAAAGAATTATAAGTTGCGCGTGTATACTTTTTACCTCAACCAGCAGCGTCCCCTACCACTCGACCGCTTTTGTGCGTTCGGGCGTTTTCACTCATATTCAAGAGTCATGTCTAGTAAGGGTGAGAATTGTGCGAGAACTGTTAATCCGACCGAGTACACCTACCCCAGTGCAAAATTTTAGCTCTTAATATTAAAAAGTGGCTACGTTGAGAATTGTTGAAGAAAACGGAAAGTCCGTTTTCCGGTTTTCTTCGAGTTTTCTCCGGTTCTCACTACCTCCCATTCTCTTTGTCAAAACATTTTGTTGTCCAAAACATACGGACTGCCCTGTATTCATGCAAAAAACACTATTATTTTAATCTCTATTGCTTGGTCTAATCATGTACATGTCCTAAATGTACAGCTGACACTATGAACTTAAAATTTTACATATTCAGACAAAAATAAAGTAAATATAGCCGCGGGGACAAAGCCACGCAACAAAATGAGTATATCCAATAGTGTGCCCAGGTTAAGTATTCTTGGACCAGTGTCCTGTATGGCCATTATCAAAATGGTACTGTGACATTTTTTGCTGAAAATGATCTGACCTAATTTTTGTTAAAAAAACTTTGAGACCATTTCGGCCATTTCTTCATTAGGAATTGGTTGCCAAATAATTTATTATAAAAATACATTATCGCTTACTACGACATTTACAACTAATGGATAAAATTGTTGAATAACACGGAAGTTGAAGCAATTTATTTGCGCAAAACCTACCAATCTTACAAGATGTTTCCAAGAGCACGAAAATTGGAAATGTTCGAAAGGGTAATTAAAAAATGATTCCACCTACCATGGAAAAATGTTGCAAATGTTTGCACCAAGACTATCAAGAATTTACCAGTTACCCAATGCGGATCAGCGCGGTAGCTCTATAAAAATATGAGCACAAATCCACAGCAGTATTATCAATTAAAATTAACCGTAGCATTCTCTCTACAGGCTGTACCAAATTAAGTGCGCACCATTGTTAACTTTGTTATTTATTTATTAGTTTTGTATTTATTATTAACTTTATTAGTGGAGATGCAGTCTTGGTTTAAATGGCAGAGCATTTATATTTTTGGACGCTGGTTGCAATGGTGATACTAAAATAATTAAGCATCGCATTGTACAGATAATTAAAAAAACACTAATTTTTAAATGGAACCCCCTGTATATTAGTGCACAAAATTGAAGTCAATTTAATTCTACGTAAAACTTTAGTAAGCAAGTATTCAGTTTGACATTTCAAGTTCGCAAAAATGCGTTTCTCCCGACCGTCGATATTTTTTGAAAGTTTCCCGCCAATTTCGGCAAAATAACAACACTTGAAAGGAGTTAATATTGGAAATGAACAAGCAGAAATTAACGTTCTGGCATATTTTGAAGCGTTCCCGATAAATCTGTGAGAGATTTGCGAACAGAAAACCCTTATTCCTTCCTGTAAATAAGGGCCTTCCCTTTTTGTGGAGTGATGATTCAAACTTTTCCAACCAATCCATGTTTAATAGGAAAAATGTTCACTATTGGAGCACGGAAAATTTATTTGGAATCGACCCCTGTTACCCACAGAGACGTTTTAGCGTTAACGTATGGTGGGCATAATAGGCGCAAAAATAGTGGGGCCAGTTTAAAAAAGGATATTAACTGGTCAGCGCTATAGCGAGTTACTAAAACACATTTTTGAAAACATTTTGACGAAGTTAATTTGGCAGAGGGGCAGGAAATATTATTCCAACAAGACGGCGCTGCAACTCATAATATGAGAGAAATTTTATGGTTAATACTTCGATATTTTGGTGATAGAATTATAGCCACCCACGGTTCTATACGTTGTCCGTCACGATCCCCTGATATTGCTCCATTAGTTTTTTTTGTGGGGTACTATCAAAGATGAGGTGTACCGGGAAAAATATCAAAACGTAGAAGAACTAAAACTAAAAGTCCGGCAAGTAGTCGGCAATTTAGGCGGTCGTCAAATGTTTAATGCATCGACTCTGTAAAAAGACGTGATTTAAATTGTAATATTCAGGAGGGGGGTATTTTTGAACACCTTCTGTAAACATGTTCATTTTCATTTAGTTTATTTTTTTTAGTTCATAGTTTTAAGACATTTTCAACCGCTTAGGTAGTTAGAAGTAAAATATATTTAATATTTTTAAAACTTGTCATTTTAGAAAAAAATGTTACTAAACTTTTTTGCTTAGAATTAAATTGACTTCGATTTTGTGCACTAATATACAAAGGGTTCCATTTAAAAATAAATGTTTTCTTAATTATCTTTACAATGTGAAGTTAATTTCTTTTAGTATCACCATAGATACCAGCGTAAAAAATCCAACTCTTTGCCATTTAAACAAAGACTGTATCTCCACTAATAACAAAGTTACCAATGGTGCGCCCTTAATTTGGTACAGCCTGTATATTACGAAAAATATTTTTTTAAATAACTTTACCGTCAATAGCCGCGGAGCCAGAATTTTTTTCTTAATAAAAGTTACGTATTATTTTATTTTGATCATATGCTTATCAGACTCATTGTATACATCAATACGATTAACTGGACTAAAATATATTCTTCTAATCGCTAACTATGCTAAGGATACAAATTCGCTAATTTCAGATTCAGGTATCATCAAAATAAAAGAAGTAATCGCTAAACTGCTTGTGATATCAAATGCCAGTGACTGGTTCAATAGAAACAGATTGGTACACAGATTGATAAAGATGAGAATAAATAAAATGGGTCCAAATTGATTTGACTAGTTGTTTTGTGTATCCAGTCTTGTTATAACCTATTTATAATCAGTTTGTGTCTTTTCGAAATATGTTTTAGTTATTTATAGTTAGTTCGGTTGGAAGTCGTTAGTGAGATTGTTTAGAATTTAGCGGATACTTGTTACCATCTTTTTTAATTGTAATTAATTGTAATTGTAATAAATTACATTGCTATTATGGGGAAAATTAAAATGTCTAAGATTTCCAAGTGGACAAAGAAAAAGTTGGCGAAATATGGGGTAAATATGTAATAATAATATAAGTTAATCTGGTATTAACCATTCAAATGCTTGCACTATTCCCTTATATTCAGCCACATAGGAATAAAAGTATATGGATAAACCATTAGAATCAAAATACCTTGATTACAATGATATGCTTGTTCAAATATTAGCCTATTTAGTTGTGTTGTTAGTAGTGTTGACAACCGTTACTTACACTATACAAAATTTATTATAATTTGAGCTTGTTGATATACGAGTGGGTTTTTAAAAAGTATAAACACGAATATGTCGAAAAGTATGCCGGCAACGAAAGAATCCAAAAACCCGAAAATATTTCAAAAATTTTAAAAGTTTAAATATTTACGGGACAGGAAAACATGATAAATACAAGAAAACAAAATTCTTTATTTTTAGATTTATCATGCTGGGGAATGTGAATACTCTTTGCATGCTTGAAAGGAATTTTACGGACAAGGTCGTCTTACTAATAGATTGTGCAGTGTTTGCATTATCGAATCCTTTAGGGGTTGGAATTAATTAAACCTTGGCGCCATAGAAAATGCATTGCGATGATAATTAACAACCATACCCGTGTTGGTTTGGTAGAGTTGTGAGTTAATCATCACCTCAATTATCTTCCTCTCTCATATTATAATGCGTAAAACTTTTATGGTTTTGGACCGTGGAAGCCAAGAAATAAGATTACAAAGTACAGTCTTAATTATAAGGGTAAATGGTTCATGGTTTATAACCAAAACACCGTATAATGAGCGTTAAAAAGGTCAGTGGTCTGACTTCAAACATCAATTAGATAGGGATGTTTATTTTTTATTAACATGGCACCGGGCGCTTATCAGTTGCATTATATACTACAAACGAAATGAAGGAATCTATGCTTTATAATATTCAGTGAAAGTTGTTGTGTTGCGGAGTAGCAAAAAAACTGAAACTGTCCCTCACTTCAGGGAAAAAACTGCCGAACCGAAGGTTTGATGAAAAATCAGGATTTCCTAAGGCCGTTTCTCTTCTCTAGTTTTACAATTATCATAAGTAAACAAAGCGGAGGATTGGGAAAGGGCTGTAGGGCATTTGAAATCGGGAAACATGTGCCAAATCCAAAAAATAACCAACGGGCAGACACAAAATACAATTGAATTGAATTGAAAGATTTTTTTCAAAAACTTAAGTCTTAATTAAAGTTCGCAAACTGTTTTCACACAGGGATGCCAGCTGATTTGACCGGAATCAGCAAGGAAAAATTGCAAGTTTGATTTTGTTTATTTAAATCTTAAAATCGAAAAATCGAAGTTAACCAAATGCGTTCAATGAACGGCCTAAGGAAGTTGTGTGTTAGGCAATTACCGAATTTCTGGCCCACTTAAGGGAGGATACCTAGATCCTTCAGTGGCTAAGGATGGATTTACCAAACAGTCCCTAATTGTTCCAAAATAATCGCGAAATACCAAATCGGTTAGTCAAAAGTCAAATCACCCTTAAATTCGGGAACCACCTGCCACTCGCTTAATAAAGTTTTTCTATAGCAAATCGTGGTCTGGCTTGACAAGAAAAATATCCGCATACTAAACGGCAAAAATCTACTTGACTTTTGTCTTTAAAAATTTGGAATCAGCCGGGTTCTGTCCACTCAAAAGTACTCTGAAGCGTGCTCCAGAAACACAACCTGATCCTTCAGAATGTAATCTGGAGAAAAAAAACGGGACTGACTGCCTCTCTTGACTCTGTGCAGGCTTATTTATCTCAGCAAAAAGGGGTTCCCTGTAATATAGGGTTCCCCTGCACGATACGCGCGTTCCCGCTGTGCACGAAATTTTTTTTATCAGCGGAATGTGGTTCCCCTGTAACTGGGGTTTCCCAGCACGACAGTATATTTTAGTTTTTCATGGAGATTGAAGCTGTGGTCTTTTTTCAGGAAATCTTCTATTTCTTGGCAGGCATTTTCAAGCCATAGTTGTTTGGCTTGTTTAATTGTTTAATTCAAATTTATTAAATTAATGACATTTTTAATTTAAACAGTTTTTCTGTTAACTTTTCTTAATGAGCCGGAACACCATGTATAATTGCAGGATGGTTGATATCTGTCAAGAAACTGAACTAATGTATAATTTAAATGAATTTTCTTGAAAAAATTCTGGAAGAATCATGCATGAAAAAACAAAGTTTCAATTTACGCATGATCCATGCATTTAGAGGAAACTATGCAGATTACTTTATTGGCTTGCATGTGGGTTTTCTTCATGCCAGATTTTTTAAACAGGCCATAAAATATCGGAAAGGAATCATTTTCGGACCTATGTCGGCATGAAGTTGTTTTCATATTATCTCCTCTAGGCTTTAGTCACCACAACTCTGAAACGCCCTAATATATTATGGGTATTGTTCCACCTTCATATGTTTTTAGTGTCTGCATTATAATATAACATAATTGCTGCTTTGGTTTTTTTAGAGTATGTGCCTTCAATTTATAAATGCCCTTTTATCCGAAACAGACGATTTTGAATTTCGGATGCATTTACGAAACGAAATTGTGAGAAATGGACTTTTTGATAAATTAGGTAGGTTTTGTAGTATAAAAGAGTGTTAATAAACACGTTCCCAACTTGCGGGGATTATAAAGAACATTGCGATAGATTTTTTTATATCAAAGATTATCTGTAATTATGGCTGGGTAAAAATACATCAGTTTTTTTGATAACACCAATTAACTAAGGAATATATGCACCTCCAGATAAATAAATATTCAAACGGAGTTAAATCTGGACCTTGCATTGACCAACCCCACCGAGATTGAGTTCATAAGTTTAAGAGTAAAACCCTTTGCAGAAAAGAAGAGACTTATTTAATTATCTAAAATAAATACCTAAGTCCTATTGTGCTGTAATTCGTCTAAACATTCTCCCCAGTTGGTGCGTTTTTTTACATTAGCTATAGTATATTTCGGTTATAAATCTCTTTGAATCTGCAATGTTCAATAGTTTATGGTATAGAGGATGCCCCTTTTACGAGCCTCATTATCGGAATCTTGCACATTTTTTCAGCTTTCTCTAATGTCTTGCTTGAACAAAATTATGTTATCTAAAAATGTCAAAATCAATTATATCGGCATAATAAAAAAAGTTGGTGATGGCGGTCGGAAATCGAAACGTTGGAATAGTCACATCTCCATCCCATAAACGGGAAATTTTTCGCATGAAAATGTTACAATCGTTTGAAATACGCCCGTTTGAATATATCCGTTTGTTTCGAATATTTTCTGTATCAATTCAAATTTTCCATGATTTAACACCGCATTTAGCAAAGCTCAAAAATACATAACTTTACCCCAATTTAAGCGATGCCTTTCCGGTTTTGTAATCCGAATCGTGAGGCTTGCAAAACGGACACACATTATTATATGACATTATATATGATTTCTATATACTGATATACAGAGTGTCCCTGACTGTACAACGCTTAATTACAAATTCCTTAACCGAAAGTAAGGCGATCACACTTATCTATATCTAATGTTGCTTCATTTTGCCGCTACAGGGCGCTAAAGTTATCAAATTAATATCGTTTTTTCCAAGTAATTTCTAAACGCCGAATTCTACATAAATTGACCTCTTTTGGCGTTGTGGTGATGATGTTGAGTGTTTATATTTTTGTTTCTCCTTTTTTTCTGCTTCTAGCTGATTTTCTTTTGAAACTTTTTTGCCTCTTGTAAAATTTTCGTCAAACCTACTGTGTCTGTACAAATAGCTATTTGCGATGCCTCTCAATTCAGATTTTTAATTATTCAGAACGAACAAAAAAGCATGGAAAAGTATTAATTCTGAAAAATTGAACTAATTTAATTATTTTAACAAATGTTCAAAATGTTGACTATTTTCCCTAACACTTATGTAAATTATTTCCTTTCAAAAAAATTTACTGTTCTTTGGGCATCGTGTCGGGCTTGTTTTTAAAATAATCTGGAGCTTTGAAATTTAATTCCAGTAACTCGGCTTCTGTAGCGACGGGCAAACACATTTGATTTAAGAGAGCATCACAGAAAAAAATCTGGTGGTGTTAAATCGGATGATCTTGGTGGCCAATTTATTGGTGCATCGTTCCCTCTTCCGAACCATCTATTATCGAACTTGCTCAACAGTAAATTCAGTTTGTCAAATGTGTGAAATAATTTGTTTAAGTTAAGTGAAGCATTGTTTTAAGCAACAATACAATACATTTGCACAATACAATACATTGCACATTTTTTTCACAAAAATGATGGTCTGCAAGGTGTAAATATTTTTTTGCACAGAAAGTGAAGAAAATTTTACAAGAGGCAAAAAAGTTTAAAAAGAATCGGAAGAAATCAGCTAGTGGTAGAACAAAAATTAAATTATTTGTAGCAAAAAAGCGCCCTGAGCGGCAAAAGAAAGTAACACTGGTTATGCTTAGATCGTCTTATTTTCGGTTAAGGAATTTGTGGTTAAGCGTTGTACAGTCATTTCAGGGACACACTGTATATTTTCTATGTTGATAGATATGAAAGTTATTGTACCTGTTAAATTTCAGTTGAATTGAAAAAAGAGACAAACCCTGTGATTAAAACCCAATTTGACATTTTCGAAAATCAAAAGGATGCCGATGCTGACGAATTGCACGAACGGTTTGACAAAGTCCGAATCGACATGGACGACATGCAGGACTGTTTCGAAGTGCTCAAAAATATCACTTTGGAATCGCCGAGTGAACCGTATTTCCTGAGTGTCTTGCAACATCTCTTATTCATCAGAGATGACTTTAATGTTAGGTAGACTATTTGAAAACACATTTTTATTAGAAATACTCGTTTATTTTCGCTTATTTCATTTTAGGCCAGCATATTTTAAGATTATCGAAGAGGTTATTTCACAAATTGTACTGCACAAATCCGGTCTCGATCCAGATTTTAAAAAGAATCACATTGATATTGATTTGCAACCGTTATTAGACGAATTAAAAGGTAAGTGTATTTTAATAAATTATCTTCTAAGGCAAAGTTGCGCACCCTATTAGTTTCAAAGTGAATAGCAATATATAGGTACCGAAAGGTCGAGACCGAAATAAAATCGATCGGTTTATGGTTAAAAAATGTTAACCAATCTTTCTGGTCCATTTGATTTAACAATCGTAAGAATGTCTGTAGTGTAAAACGGGCTTCACATTTTCCTAGCTTCGAAGATTATTGAAGCAAAAATTTTGCTCTCGAAATTGAACAGCTAAAGAAGGTTGGAATGTCTATTTGTTAGTAATAAACTTATATGCTCTGTTTGTATTAATACTAACACTTTTATACAGTGGTAGACAGTTCGGTTGCAAAAAAAAGTTAAACACCCTATATATATTCGAATACATATATTATATGTCGCTCCTGTTTTAAAAATCGGTTTACTACTTTAATTGCATTTAACTAGTATAATTTGTGTGTTGTTTTTAGAGCGACCACCATCAGTGGACAACGCGAAAATACAAGAGTTGCAAAAACACCTGGATGAAGCGTTGGAGGCTAAAGGCGAAGCCGAAGCCAAACTAACAAAACTGATAGGGGCTGTTAAGGGTGGTGGAGATGGTAAACTAGATCCCAGTTTGGTAAGTGCTTTTAGCTAGACGGTAGACTTAGAGATGTTTTCTCCTTTTATGTGCATTCTCTTTTGAGAGTGCCAATTAATATGACACATTCCCTATCCAGTTTACTATGAAGAAGGGCGTTTCTTTTGGTTTGTATTCACTCTTCTCTGTTTCACAGTCACGAATTTTTCCCGTCTATGTGCAGAGTGGTCCAGTCTCCAGAGCGGTCACTTAAAGGATTCATTCTCATCAAAACAATATGAGAACAATTTGAGAAACGCTTTGTTAAGGAAATCTCGCTGGTGCCACGGCTGTGGATACTTAGACCCAAAATTGTATGCAATAACTGCCAATGAAGGAGCATATTTTGCAATAAAAACTAAATTCTTTTTGATTGGTGGCGTCCGCATTAACACGTTTATGGAAGTTTTTAATGTAAAAATGGTGAGACCAATTTTCATAAAAGCATTCATAAAATCGTTGATGGGGATTTGGCGTTGGAATCGGGATTTGGCGTTGATGATGAACATCACAGATTGATGTTGTGTTTTTTAACTTTATCATTAAATGATTGTCAATTATTTTGTAATTTGTACTTGAAAACGATGAATTCTACAGAGAAATTCAAACAAAACGTTTTTCTGAACTGAACGAAGAATTGAAAAGTGATTTTTATTTATATTATATTAAGAATATCCATTAACGTGTTAGTACGGACACTACTGGTCAAAAGTAATTTAGTTTTTATTGCAAAATGGGCTCTTGCATTAGTAATTATCGCCTGTATCCACATTTTTTTCCTTCCGAATATACCTTATAACGCAAACTCATATAGCTTTTCGATTCTTTATCGCTCCCTTTTTCGTTCTGGAAACTGAATCACCCGGTATTTATTATAAGATATAACTGTTTGTATTTCCTTACTTCGAAGGGTACTTTCCCTTACTTGAGTTGTTTCAAAGCATCCGGCATCATGTACTTTCACATTGTAAATGCTGCAAGTTGCAAGTCCCCTAATGCCTTCCCGTTTCAGTATCCATGTTTACATCTTTGCATCCTTATAAAATATTGCACTGAGAATTTTTCTATTGATAATTTTGAGAGACAAAAATGCTTGGTATGTCGCGAAAACCTGCCTCAACAGTTCAAATTCTCCTTCTAATTTTTTGCAGTGTTCTATCCGAGTACTTTTGTATCTATCCAATTAAATCCAACCGTCTTGATAAATAAGCACCCTTTATTTAGAACTAGCGTCTAAAATGTAAAAAAAACCTCCTTCACACGTCGATTTACTGCGTTAAAATAGTAATTGAATTGTTCGTGTCTACGTACCCTGTCCATGCAATAATAAAAATAATAAAAATGGTCAAGAGTTCGGCTTCTCAACCGTCGCGGAAAAGACTGCATTATTCAATTCTGGCCATCTACACATTGTTATCATGTTCCATAGTATAAATGACCGTTTAATAAAAGTAGTTTGACGAAAGCTAAGGTATATTGTCCCATTACGGTTTCCTGGAGATACGAGTAATATGGTCAAATGATCTCATTTCACTTTAAGGTTTATTTTAGTTATGTCGTCCTGAGATTGAGGTAAAAGATGCACTCTTCGAAAAAGCATATGTAATTTTAAAAGGTTAACTAGTCCATTAGTCGTCCCTTCTGTAAATTTCAAGTAACAGTCAGGATCATACTTGTTCAGTTCTTTGACTAATTGAAGTTTATCAGGATGGTGATATTCTTTTAAAATCTTCCTTACTTACTTAATACTTATTTGAAGATTCAAAGTATTGAATAAGTAATATGCGGTATCTAGTAGACCTTAATTTATTACATGTTATTATTTTGCTGGGATTCCTTAAAAGTCAAGCTTTGGGCTTCCGCTGTTATGACTTCTAGGCCCAGTCTAACTGTTTTTCTCTCAGGAATTGCTACAAAGTGTTACTCACGAAGATCTACTCCTTGTACCTCCTTAACTCATTTCAACACTAAGGTTGTTAGTACCTGATCTTATGGATAATATTGCCGTTGATTTTTTCGTTTTTGAGTTGCGAGATTTTCGAGTGCTCAGTTTTAAATTAACATTTTAATTTCAGATAGAAAAGGTAATGCTGCCCGGAACGGGAAGTGGGGCTCTTCCTCCGCCACCACCGCCTCTTCCTGGGGGTGGCGGAGCGCCACCGCCTCCTCCTATGCCAGGAATGGGTGGGCCACCTCCACCACCTATGCCAGGATGTCCTGCTCCCCCACCTCCACCGCCCATGTTTGGTGGACCTCCACCACCTCCTATGATGCCTGGTAAGCTGTCCTTTTTTTATTTGGATGTCTTTAAAAATGCGTGTAAATCGAGCGCCAGTAGCATTTTGTCTATTTTCGAAGCAAGTGACTTAGCGAGTTAGTTTATTTGCATTCCTACTTAATCCTTGTCAATTTTAATCAGGCATTTCAATTTTATTGATTACTATTTAATTTACTTGAATTGACTTATAATTGAATAATTGCTTTATTATTATGAGGTAATTTCATTCTAACTTGTATATTGTACTTTTTTGGCCAACACCAAGAAGAAAACATCTAGAAAATAACATCTAGCTCGTTATAATATGGAAGCGATTAGTCGCTATAATGTATTTGAAATACGTTATTAAATTTGGTGCTATGAATCGTAAACAAACAATTGTTTATGACAAGAATTATGAGCTCGACTATATTTTGAATTTTGTGAGAACTACATTATGTATGCGAAAGTTGATTTGCTTAAAGCTGGGACACACCGGTAAGAGTACCTTCCGTCGATACCCAAACAATCGGATCGGAAAGGGGAAGGCACACATCTCGACATCTCATACACGCTTCAGGCTTCGTTCCGATTTTTGGCTCCGATAGTCACATACAGTTGCCATTCGCTAATCTAAAGGAAAGCACATTGCAGCAATAGTTTTAAAAAATGTTTTAACACTTTAGCAAGTGTGACTGTGACTTGGCTATGGTGGCACTTTGATTAGACAACCAGGAATAAGAAAGACGAAGATATTTGAGGGACAACAGGGAAAGGCGCTGATTTTTTGCTCTATAATGCTTGGATTTTAGGAAAAAACCTGCAGAAAAAATGTGTGAAGAAGACACATGTCTTAAAAAAGTAATATTGCTCTCTGGCCTGATAATGCAATGAATTGAATGCCAGGTAGCCAAGGAAACAAGGTCCAGACCTAAAAAGCCGAGTTTAAGCCGCGGCAAATTCCTTATTTATGCCTCCCCAAACCGTTCATATTCGCACCGTTTGAATATCGGCAATGGCGTCCGCGTCTTCTATAATACGAGAGCACTACAACTTTGTTCTTCGTCTAACTTTACCACTGATCGCACTGATCAATACCAATCCGATCAATTTTGATAGAGACGATTATAGTTTATCCGATCCGGCGAGAATCCCCGAGTCTTGGGTTGTCGGTAAAGTTGTAAACTTTCAAGATGCGCTCGAAGAAATAACGATTTGATGTTGTACCTATTTAGAAGTAAGGTCTGCATCCGACTAACGGAACCCGAATGGTGTGTAACCGGACAAAACAGGTTTCATGTGCAAGTGATGAGATGCTCGTGACAAAATAAAATTAAAGTTGTTTGTTTTTTCTCAGGTGGAGCTCCGCCACCCCCACCACCGCCAGGTATGGGCCCCCGGCCACCTGCGCCACCTGGAATGGGTCCACCACCTCCTCCATTCGGTATGGTTCCAATGCCAGGAATGAGGCCACCCGATGTTCTGCCCTATGGTCTAAAACCTAAAAAGAAGTGGGAAGTGAAAGGGCCTTTAAAAAAAGCCAACTGGAAAACTGTAAGTATGCATAGATTTATGTTTGAGTCGTGTTGTTTGATTAATATTAATATCTGTTCATTATAATAATGAGTTTTGCGTTCAAAAGTGTGCCGGCTTTTTTCGTTCAGTACCCTATAACTAGTCGTTCAGTGCTGTTCGTTCAGTTGAGCTTGTACTGACGATGCATTATAGTATTGAATCGTTTATCGTACTAATGACTGCAGGCGGCTCAACAATTTTGTTGAGGGTATGCGGTATTAGGGCTATATTGTATCATTTCATTAATTTGTTCACGTTTTGCTTAAGGCAGTAGTGCTTGAACTTTCGTCTTTAAAACTGTTTATTTTTTGTTTATTGTGTCCTTAATTAGAAGATAAGTCCAGTGTGAGTTGGTCTTTTTTAAAGAAGTGTATGACAAAACTTAGGAAAGTGCAAATTTTGTTTCTAAAAACTGTCGCATAAAGGTGGATCAAGTTATAATTTAACTCCACCCATCCATCAACCAGGAATTACAAAATGTAATAGATGGAAGACAACTACCTAAACAGTCAGTTACAGAAAAGCCAGATTCAAATAATACCAGTGCCGAACCGCGTAAACTTAAACAAGGCTCTCAAACTACAACAATCAGTTTCCGTAGGTACATATTTCAGAAAAGCCATAAGTGACAAGGAACGGAACGAAATATGTACATCACAAGATTGTTGAATTGCTTGTAAAAGACTATTTGACTCTTCATATTGTAGATAGTCAAAGTTTTAGAAAAGTATGGGGAGCTTTGAATCCTGATTACCAATTGCCTACTATATAATATATAATTGAGCACAGAAAAAGTAAAGAGGTGCTTAAATCTGATGACACAGTGAGTATCACTACTGACCAGTTGAAATTGATTAATGCCGAAAAATTTATATCCGTTACTGCACACCACATTAATGAAAAAAATGAGATAACGAGTATTTTACTAGATTGCTATAAATACCGGAAAAGTAATTCAGCAATAAATTTGTTCAAAGAATTAAAGCGTGTGCGTCAAGAATGGGAAAGACAATGCTGCCAATCTAGTAGCAGTAGTTAAGAGATCTGGATGGAGTCATGTGGCCTGTTTTGCACATAGTATGCACATAGAATTAATCGTTCAGGGCGCCCTAAAACATATTTCGGACATTCGGGCAAAGATAAAATGTATTATCGATTTAAAAAAAATAAGTCCAAAAACTATCGAAAAATGCCCATATTTGCTTTCACGTCCACAATTGTATCAATTATCTTGAACTGTAAACTATTAGCAACTAGGGCCAAGTTATAGGTATTTAAAAATGCTTTATCGTGACAAAAAGAAACAAACCAATTGTGCCATGATATAAAAGGTAATGAGTAGATTAATAGGTACCAATGTGTTTTCCACTCGCATTTCCGGTCCATATGTCAGTTATTAACAATGTATTGCAACAAATACAATTTTTGTCTTTTTTTGTTTATAACTTTGAAACTAATTTATTTAATATTTAAAATATTTTAAAATTAATTTAATAACTGATCATTCGGAATGCCCCAACGAGATGGTTTGTAGAGAATAAATATATCTACAAAATGAGAAGTCGAACGCATCAACCGAATAATTAGTTTTTTTAAAAATTYATATCTCCGTCATTTTTTGAGCTGGAGCGCTAAAGTTTTGAGGGAAAGTAGGGACTGTAACGTTCGTTATATGTGTCAAAGAAAGGTGCTGTGGAATTATTAGTTTTCTCAGAATCGCGATTCAAAGTTTGCAGTTGTCTCTTTCCGGCCGACCTGTATGCGCTACTGTAAGTCCGATTATAATTTCAAACCAACTACTACTACTACTCAACAGCGAGAGGGCGCTCGGCCGATTTTCGCGAAATTTATGACGGTTTTTAGCATGCTTCCAGGCATCTGATCGAAAAACTAAAATTTACGTTTTGTAGTGCACGATGTGAACTTTAGAACGGTTGTAAATATTGAAATTAAAATATCATTTTATGACTACGAATAATTTACAAACACTATACATTTTAATATTGCGAAACAAAATATAATACATTCTATATCTTCAATGCCCCTTCCTGAAAAAGAAAATCTAGAGACATAATTAGAAGCATCAGAAACCCGATAAATATTTGGAAGAAACAGTTTTAGAGAGAACAATGGATTCAATAAAATGGTGTGAAGATCGACAGACTATTTATTTTCGACTTTACAAGATCGTTAGAAATAAACGGTTCAGGTTGCACACAAATGATTCACATTACTTTACTTTATTTTTGTGCGTTACCACAAGAACTGAAAATTGTAGATACATATTATTATTTGCTTTACAGCCGTCCTCCTAGAGATTTAATTTAAATGGTTTCAGTTTAGTCCCTAATTATTTCTATGTTAATAATCGTTAAGATAATCATTTCGAATGGTAAAAAGTGGCAACTAAAATTTTTTTAAATAATATATACGTAATAACATGATAATAATACTTATTATTATAATACATAATATGAGTAGAATGTCGTTTATATATTCTACACGAGGAAAGCACAGTACAAAGCAACGCAAAACACGAGTCATGACTCCATATTAGAGACAACACACTGACCGAGACGCTCTTTAAAAAAGTGAGTCGTTCGAAATGAACGACTCATTCACGAACGACACGTCACTCGTTCATTAGGAAAGTTGTATATCGATAAATATTTCATTCAGATTTTCTTGCTTTGCTTACAGATAGTGCCGCAAAAACTTTCAGAAAAGTCGTTCTGGGTTAAAGCGAAAGAGGAGGAGTTAGCGGCACCAGATATTTTGAACGGATTGGCCGAAAGATTCTCATCAAAACCAGCGAAAGTAAATGAAGAAACAGCTGACCGGTAAGTTGCAAGATTTGAAATGTTGTGGAAGTGGAAGTTGGAAACACATATGTGCATACAAATGCACAAGGGACTGTTAGCAACAGCTCTCTTACAAGTTTTCATGACAATAAGTCTGTATTGAAATATGCGTCCTTACATACTTATGTATGTAAGGACGCATAACGTATGTCCAAAACTATTGAATTCAATCACATAGTATGTTATCAAAAATACTTATAATTTAATGTAGAACCTGATTCTAGATTTAAAAGTAGGCTATTCCGTTTAAAAAAATAAACTTGACTGTCATCATTTTACTTTGAGCTACCCTGTATACTTCAAAGTAACAGAAACAAATACTTTGGCAACAGTCTCAACACTTTTATATAAACGTTTTTTTTTTCATTCGCTATTTCTGTACCATCTACGAGGGGGTCTTGCTTTGCTGACTCACCCTGTATAATATAATTTAATTCGAGAAATAACTCACTAAATACCACTCGAGCTTTAAAAGTAACCAGATAATTTTTCACTCTAGCATGTTTTCCAGCAAATTATGGAAAACATACAATCGTGAAAAATTATCGGTAATTTCAAAGCTCTTGTGGTATTAATCCAATGCATCCGTTTGTACGATGATACGAAAGTGTTTCTATTGGTTGCTTTAAATATAAAACCAAACACAGTTCAAATTAACATGGATGCAAATAAAGTCTAAGTAAGACCAGCATTGTAAATAAAATTAGTACAGAATGTGATAGTGAAAAATGGAATGTGATTCTAACACGAAGAGGATGTATGGTGAAAAGGGCCTTTTAGGCCTACTCGATGGACCCATTCGGTTCCCCCACACAGAACTAACACGAACAGGAAGAAGTAGTTGGTAGCACTGCCACCACGATTACCTTGAATACTTTAAGTATAGGAAGCTTGTTGATGAAAGACCAATACATATAAACACGAGAAAAACATGTATAGGATGGGCCAAATTGAACACTTAAATGGAAACTACCATTACCATTTTATGCCAGATAGACAATAACTTCTGTCGGTGTCAACACAAAACAACTGGTATGGTACAGGCATGAGCAGAGAATGGGGGACGAAAGACTGCCTAAACAAATACTGCAATGGAATCCAAATGGGCGAAGAAAGCGAGGAAGACCAAGAAAGAGCTAGAGACAAGGAATATACAGCGAAATAAGAATTAGGGGTTTGAATGACGATTTATGGGCGAACAGAAACGAGTGGGGATCGGGCATTGGAAGGCGACGGACATTATAAAACTGATTTATATATATTTAACGTAACTTTTTAGCTGAGTACTTGATTATGATCATGTACGTTATAACTTCTTTCATTCTTAGTTATACAATTATTAAATTCGGCTTTCAAGATGCATGTTTTTTGGAACGATAGCTGAAGCGTTAAGTGACTTAAATAACATACATAATGGATACTTTTTTGAAATAATGTTTTTTTATTATCATTATTATTATTATTTATATATATTTCAGGGTTAGCAACTGTGGCACTTTAAAGAAAGTGAAGAAGCTGATGGTGCTAGACGATAAAGTCGCCCAAAATATTTTTATATTATTAAATGGTAGTCTGAAACATATGCCTTATGATAAAATTTGCAAGGCCTTACTTCGATGTGATGAGACTGTTCTATCAGAAAACGTAATAGAGCAATTGATACAGGTATGATTTAATTCGGCTTTTCCTAGTTCCGTTTTTTTATCGCTGTTCCTTTACAGTACTTGCCACCTGCTGATAAATTGAGCAAATTGCAAGAGCACAAAAATAGATACAAGGAGCTTCCAGAGGCAGAACAGTTCTGTGTTGAAATATCCGGAGTCAAAAGACTGTTACCAAGATTAAAGTCTCTCAGTTTTAAGCACCGATACAAGGAGCTCGTTCAAGATACCAAACCAGTAAGGATATATTGCTTTCTTAAAAATATTTACGACAAAATTCTAATTTGCTTTATTTTATTTATTATGGACATTTACTTTTAGAATATAGTAGCAGCCACCGCCGCATGTGAAGAAGTGATCAAGAGTGGCAAATTTTCCAAAATTCTAGAACTAATTTTATTAATGGGCAATTTTATGAATTCCGGCAGTAAAAACGGCGGTGCCTTTGCGTTCGAAATGAGTTTTTTAACGAAGGTAATTAAATTAGGGTGCAGCCCTTAGCTGTTACAATTAATGTAACAAACATTATTTTAGCTAACAGGAACGAAAGATGTAGATAACAAGTTAACTCTATTGCATTACATAGTTGAAAGTGTGGAGAAGAGATTTCCAGAACTTTTAAACTTTTATGATGAAATGCCACACATCGACAGGTAAGCTAGTAGATTAATTGTTCAACAGTCGATTACTGATTTACCTGCCTTAGAGCCAGCAGAGTATCGTTAGACACAATACAAAAAACCCTAAAGCAAATGGACAATAGTATAAGAAATTTGAAAACGGATTTAGATAACAACAGAGTTCCTCAAAGTGAAGACGATAAGTTTGGAGAAGTTATGGAGGTATTCAGTTTGCTTCGGCTGTATGCGCCTGTTTCTATTTCTTTGATTTGCTTAGGCTTTTTACAACGAAGCAAGGGAACAGTGTGATCTGATGCAGGAAATGTTAAAGAAAATGGAAAAATTGTATAGCGACTTAGCAGAATATTATTCATTTGACAAACAAAAGTATGCCTTAGATGAGTTCTTTACCGACCTGAAAACTTTCAAAGATAGTTTTATAGTAAGTAGGATTTAAAAATAGATGTGCTTCAAAAATAATTATTCTATAGCATAGATATAGCCCGTCCACTGTAACTCTGGTCGTAAGTCTTTAGTGGCCAAATTTTACCGCCATCTTTCAAATAATTATGCATAACATTTTTATTACTTTTTCGTGGGTTTGGCGCACTGGAGAATGCGAAAAATTGATAATACAGGATGACAATAAGAAAATGACCTCTAGCAAAAGCTTCATTAAATGCGTAATTTTCAATAAAAACAAACTTTTTCAAACAAAGAACAATACACAAATTGATCAAAATATGAGTTTTCCATAAGAACTAATTCACAGCGAGTTTCACCAAAATACATCGTACCATTCTCCCGATATTTCAAAAAAGATCATTTTTTTGAAGAACTTTGACCATCAATAGCTGAGGAGCCAGACATTTTTTGTTAATAAAAGTTAAGTCAGATCGTCTTCTTTTGATACAAAGAATATCGCAGTATTCTTTGGATCATGTGCTTACGGGACACCCTGTATGCACTATTTTTCACGGAATAATTTTGAATCGAATAAAGCAATAAAAACTTTCAAACTTAATATATATTCATGTCACATTTGCGAGAATTTGGTTGTAATTTTTTTATTGTCGCCCGGTACTACCTTATTTGCAGCGATGCAATCGACACAGATTTATCGTTAAGTTTTCCCAAGTCGCGTATTATGTCGGCACCCGAAAATTGCTTCTTTTAAAAATGAAATTCAAAGACCCTCAAGAATATCAAACTCCATCGATTTTCTAATTGGTATTAGAACGAATTTACGGCCGTTATGGAAACAATCTTTGACCGTGGGTTGATGACGAGCAACCAAAGTTACAGCGGACGGGAATAGTTTCAAATGCAGCTAGATGTAGTTTGGAATAAAAAATCAATTATTCATTGTTAATAGCAAGCCAAAATTGACAATCAAAAGGAACGCGATCTCGCGGAAAAGAGAGAGAAAATGCGACTGTCTAAGCTAAAACAGGACCAAGAAAAGGAGGAGAGAAATAAAAGAAAATTAATAGATATGAATCCTAAACAAAACCAAGAGGGTGTCATGGACAGGTTAGTTTTCTCTTTTTATTACACGGAAATTTGTAAATGTGTATCGAATTTTATCATGTTATTAATGTCCATGGTTTTTATACAATCGTTTTACAGTGCAATTTAAAAATACTTTATATTCTAGTTTTAAATTATTTTACAGTTTGTTGGAAGCACTATCGACCGGTAGCGCGTTTGGCCCAAAAGAGAAAAGAACAAGAGGTCCCAGACCTTTAGGAGGTAAGCTTGATATTTCATTATGCATATTTTCGTCATTAAATGCTGTTGCACAATATTTCAAACTGGTTGATACGTTTTTCCATCTTACATCTGATATTTTTTTCAAGACTGCATTGAAGTTGGTTATTTATTCGAAGGTAGGCTATTCTGTAAATCGGAAAAAATAACAAACATGTTTATGCTCGTTTTGCATTTAAGAACACTAATCCGTTACTAGTTATGGTTTCTTTGAAGTGATTTATCTAATAATCTGTTGTTTTTTTTTAAGCCGAACGAAGAGCCCAGCTTCAAAGGTCACGCTCCAGAACGGGTCTTCTAGGGGAACGAGAGTTTACAAGGTAAATAAAAGCTAAAATTTTAGAGAAACCCTTAGGATACGACTAAAATAATGCATTAACTGCAAAAGTAATTTAATATGCAAACTGTATGAGTTTGAGACACTTGAAAGTGGCAATCTGTAATTGAATTTACTTTTAGAAATCACTTTTTGTAGATATCGTGGGTTTAAAGCTAAAAGTGACCAAGTCCAAAAATTGGCGTATTTGTGTTTGTTGATCAAGTCATTTAAAAAAATTATATATTTTTATTAAAAAACTGACGAAGCCCCCCAAGGCCACACAAACAGGTGCATTAAAATATGCTTTTAATGGCCAAATTTCTAAAAGAATTCTGATATAATTTTTGGCTCGGTTTAAAAGTGCAATTACCAAAAATTGATATTTTAGTCTTGGACAGTCGTAGTTTTACCTTTAAACCCACGATATGTGTTTTAAATTTCAGTATACCAAAAAATGTTGTATATTATGAAACCAAACTTGCTTAAATGTAGTGCTCGGTAGGTCAGCTGAAATAACAAGGAGCAAGAATGGTCTTGTAATCTGCTTATTTTTCTATATCACTTTCAGATATTATTAAAAATTCAAGGTTTTTTAGCAATAATATTTGCAAACAGGATCCAGATGGCCACCAAAAAAACCTTTAATTTTGATATATACGGACACTAACATTAAAACCGTTATTGAAATATATTTATCAAGTTTTGGTAGGCGATCAGAAAATGGCAATTAAAGTGAGTTTTGCACTCAGGCCTGTATAAGATAATGCTACCGTACTTATATTTGTTATTCGTTCGAATTGTTCATGTTCCAAATTTCACGTTATCCCAACGATTGGTTCAAAATTGATGAGAAAAAAGCGGGAAAAGTCTCATTTCTACCCCTTCTATCTCCGAAACGATGCGAATTTCGGAGAAGGTGATTTAGGGACATTATTTTATCATGTTTATTCGATTCTTGAAGTTATCAAGATTAAACCTGAGTCACCCTTTCATATCTATAATATTTATCTATTGAAAAGTCGAATGTTTATCTTGATATTTACAGTATTTAAGCTTTACGCAATTTGTGTCTTCAGACGTACCCAGTCATTAAAAATAGAAGATCTTCCCAATTTTGCGCTACCCAACGGTAGCAAAAAATTACTCGAAGATTGCGACGAATATGGCTACTCCACAACTTCCGTGTTTTTCTGATTCAAGTAAAGTAATATTGTATTGTGGGTTTTTTAATAACATAAAAAGCTTGCTTTCATTAACTATGTTTAGGCTCAAAGCTTGTTTGTCACAATTTTGAAACACCGTTAACAAGCAACCACTTTTACGCTAAGCAGACTATACTATTAATATGATTAAAATGCTTAATGGTCTATGCTGTTTTTTTCAGACTAGAATACAGAAAGTTAGACTTTTTTAGACTTTGATTTTTTCGTTATGGAAAGTTTAAAGATTTCGGATTTTTTTGCATACAAACATCTTGGAATATATTTAGACTTTGTAACCGGGGAATAAATATATGTAAAAGAACATTTGGTCAATTTCTACTCTAAAACAAATATAGTATAATCTCACTAATCCGGCACTTCAATAGACCCATACGTAAAATAATCCGGCACCCCTCGCAAACAAAAAGACTCGAATCAATTTTATTTAAAAAAATTGGTAAAAAAGTAAGATTATTATCGTGTCAACGATACATAACTGGATAAAATCAAAAAGCGATTTTGTATCCGTCTGTTCACCATATCGTGTGAAAAGGCACCGAATCTGCAGTGCAGCCATTTATCCAGCATTTTAAGGACAAAGTAGAGGAACTGGGTCAGACCAAATCCATAATGCAGACGAGAGTGGTCTTGCCCAATAAAACATTCGTATCCTCTAAAGAAGCGAGCGCATCAGGTCGTAAAGTGAGTAAAGATAGAATCACATTCATGCCGTGTATAAATAATACTGAAACGCGCAAATTGAATTTGCGAGTGATTGGTAAACTAAAAATCCCAGAGCTTTCAAGAATATTTGTCTGCCAGTCTGCTACAAGAACCAATTAAAAAATTAGGTCACGAGAGAGGTATTTAGGGAATGGTTTCATAAAGACTTTGTCCCAGAAGTCAAGAAGTTTATTAAAARATCCAACTTGCCCCTAAAAGTTTTACTCGTACTTGGCAATRCTCCAGGCCACCCAAATGAACAAGAACTTAAATAAGTGATGGGAATATCCAAACCATCTTTTTACCACCAAACTGCACACCTTTAATGCAGCCGAWGGATSAAAATGTTGTCCAAAAAGTAAAGTCCTTGTAKAAAAGTAACGCWGGGCYATAAAGAATTTAATTTGAAGGATGTTGTWTTCTCWTTYGCTTCATCTAYGGCCTATAATGAATCCTGTATYAGAAACAGAAGAATGCGATCCTGAAGATAGTCTAYCTATTGCCGATTGGTTGCAAAATCTATCAGAAAGAGGATTGGAGACAAGTGAAGAAAATTTAAATTCTTGRTTTGAWTGGATCGAAGAAACAGAKCAAATTATGATAGATGAAGAAATATGTGAAGCAGTACAAGAAGAATGCCTTGTACAACCATTGGAGACACCAACTACTACAACTGTAAAAGTTAAACCAGATAAAGCATTTAATTGTTTCAAATCTGGGCAGAAGACGGCATATCTACCAAAGATATTATAATTCTTCGAAACATGCGAGAAACGGTTTTTAAGCAAGGACTGCAAGTTGCACAAAAGCAGACCTCAATTAAAGATTACACATTTTGAAACTATGAATGTATTTACATGCTAATCTTGAGATATGTTTCAGTTACAGTAAAACCTGTCGAACAAGAACACAACTATGTACACACATACATTATATGTATTCTCTTTATCAAATGCTTTATTTCATTAATTATGATTTTTTCTTTATAGTCCAGTAATCCGAACGCTCCACTAATCTAGTTTTCTCTAGCGTGCTATTCAATAGTGTCGTATTAGTGAGATTGTGCTGTAGACAGTTCTCCCGTTGCACAAATATGAACTCCATCCGATAATCAAATTCAACATACACCAAATACGAATGGTTAATTGCGGTTTTGTTATATCTTATCACAGTTTTGGAAGGAGGAGGATATTTGAAAGTATTTTTTAAACATGATCACACCCTTGCTTTTCAATCTTAGCTGCTCAACAAAATAAACGTTACACAGCCAAACTTGCATTACCTTTGGAACCGGGTAAATTATTGCTTAGAGCCATTTAGTTTCTGTTTGAAGAATTATTGGGCCCCATTTGTTTTTTGTTAGTCAACGCTTTGGTAAAAGATACGTGTTTCTGATAAATTATCTACCGAACGACAAATGAAAATACAGGTTTCTCGTTAGTATGATTTGGTACTGTACTTTATTTATATAAAAGTAATAGATGTGAGCAAAAAGTCTTGTAAAAAGAAGTTCAAGATTTGTATTAACAAAAACTATGTATTAGTATGATTCCGACTTGCTGGTTGCCTGTCTTCTGTTGTGTCGGTTATTTTTGGTTTTCTTTTTAAGTTTCTGTTTTAAGTTGTTTTATATTATAACATTATAATATAACTTTGCGTATACTGGACTGCGTACAGGTAATTTATTTACCTCTGCAGAATTACAATTAATGTGTAATTTATTTTCTGGTATTAAATAAATAATGCAGCTACTTAAAATGTATCTTTCAGAATCGAAATGCATCGTGTACTGTTTGACCCTAAGCTGTTTATTATCACGATGCCCATATGACATGATAATGTTATCTGTTTCTGGTCGAGTCTGAATAGGCTTATATAAATAAGCCTAATATATAAATTAACCTGCCTAAAATAATTTAGGCAGGTTAATTTATAATTTATGAGTTTTTTTAGGAATTTCTGTAAGACGTAAGGTCAACCAACAAATAGTCACATTTCGGTCTATTCTCTAGTAACATATGTTACACCCGCTCATGAGTTTTAGATCGTCGACTTTGACATGAGCCTTAAAATTTGCTAATCGGTGCAAGAGAAAACATTTATCACTGCAATACCAAAAATCAACACTCTTTTTAGATATATGAGGTCTGTATTAATGCCTGTGGTGTTGTAATGCAAAAACACTTTTTTTCCAACGAGAGCATGAGGAACTCTCACTAATTGTACAATGTTTGATTTGCCGCCCTGTGAAAACTATATTTAAAACACTTTTTTTTGTAAAAACACGCACTAACGGAATAATAGTTGCACTAAATAACGCTTATCCACACGTGTAACGTCTATTTTGATGAGCAGTTTAGTTGTTGGGGCACAAGTGCTTACAACCTTGTATATTTTCTTTCTTATCCCTTGTATATTTTCTTTCTTATCTGGTCTAAGAGATTTATTCTAACAAGTGATAACAACCGTACTCAATTACATATCTAACGTTTTTCGCTGGTAATTTCTGTAAAGCTTTCTTTGATTTTACATCGCTGAAATCAGAATGCTTTTTGGGGTGAAACACTTACACTTTTCAAGTAAATAGTTCCATACAAATTCCATGGCTTGGACGTTTTTACGTTTAATACTGCATAAAGTAAACTATTTAAAATACCTAACAATTTTGTTATATTTTCAGTGGAATTGTTAGGTGACCGGTGGCTGTAATCTCGAAGCAAGAAGACAACGAAGAATTTTATCGCTCAATCGATTAAACAACCAAGCTTCAGTTTCCTATAAAGAAAATTATGCGAGAATTGTGGTTTATTTCTGATCACTTTTAACTAATTCATGGCACTTACGATAAAAGCTTTATACTTCTCAGGTTGTTAATTGTATCCAGCGTCTCTTACAAGGTCTACGTTATCAGTTAAGTCCTGTTCGTTCATAATTAAAAAATTAAACTTACAATGTTTTAGTCTTCGGTATGTTTGGTAATGCAAACGCTTGATTTATAACATCTAATGATATAACTAATTATGTAACATGTGTAGATAGTCTGGAGTAACCGTATAATGCAAATTATTGTAAAACATACAGGGCACGCCAATTAAAACGAAACCGCGCGGTTTTCTCGGTTGATACAACAATTATACAAAAATGCTCGGACATGCTAATTTTAGTGTAAAAAGGGTAGCCTTCTATTAAACTTCAAGTATGCAATCAGGAAACCTTTCACCTCCAAGCTAAAGTTGACGTGTCCCAGCTTTTTTCAGTGACTGTTGTATCAACCGGCCAAACACATCTGTGCCGTTTTAGTTGCCGCACCCTGTATAACGCAATAATATATTCTCTCTTCTAAGCTACCTTTAGATGTTGAATGATGTAACTACAGAAAAAATGCGAAATAACTCTGTTATCAAAATGATTACAGTGAATAACTAGGTTACAAAGCATTTTTTTAATTAATAGTGATCAGATACTCGCAAGGATACGAAAAGTGATTTATATTGTGTTAATTTATTTTAAACATAACGTGAAGTGTACATATATTGTAACTATAAATTATTTGTATATTGCGTTTTTATTGTAAGTGAAATATCTTCTAGTTTTGATACAATCGATCAACATAAAGAAATATATTATTAAATTTCACATACTTTTTTGTGACGGTGAAAGCGCATTGTTGTTGAAGTATGTAGCTTATTAATTATTACGTCTGACATTCATATCAAGTATCTTTAAGTTGGCCTTAATAAAATGACTTTAATACTAGTTGCAGTTTTTTTCCATCTTTTCAGTTATTTATTATATTATTTATAAGGCTTCATTTGATTTCATATTATTTAAAACCTATTTGCCCTTTAAAAGCTCATATAGTTTCCAAATGAAATTCATGATTGTATGCGCAAAAGTTAATTTATGCTTTAAGTTTACATATGTAGTTTCCAAACACAGATTATAATTTACTATATTTTGACAAATTGCATTTGCAGTGCTAAAATATAAATTTATTTACTTAGAATTGTTTATTGTGTGTAACAATCATCAGCTTAGTTTTTTTGTACATATGTTTTAAGTTTTTAAGTTATAATCTGAGTTATCTCGATATATCTGGTACTTACATTGTTGAATTCGACAGTAAATTGTTTAAAACACATTTCCCATCAAGTAAGATCTAATCAAGACAATTCTAATGTATTAATTTAAACAAACCTTACACTCCAGTGGCACTACGTGCGGTTTTATGAGAATGATAATTCGCGCGAAGTAGCACCATCTCGCGCTATTTTGATACGATGGCACTACAAGCGATTATCCCAGAGAGCACAGAATATTACATACATATTTATTAAATATTTATATGTTTGGTAAATATTAGAACATATTATCCTAATTTTCATTGGTCAATTAATGGCAAATATTTCATAGCAAAAAGAAATATTTTTTAAATATAAAAAATATTTGTATTTAATATTTAATGTATATCCACGGTATATAGAAAAATTGATCGTAAATCCTCTTTACCACTAAAACCTTAGTCCCTAAAACCAGATTAGCAAAATTTGTCGAAAATAAATAAAAATATCGTCGATTTCATATAACGGTATTACTTAACTGAATTAGAGTAATTCAAACAAATATGAAATGTTGAATTTGTGTATACAGGGTGGCCATTTTCTGAATCTCTTCTGAAGTATGGGCAACTTTTACGTTTTTAAAGATAGAGAATCCGTTAAATGGGCAAAATTGGGCAGCATTCGAGTGCATATTCATTACCGTGTTCAAAATTTAGGTACCCGACTTCCTGAAATATCCTGAAGAGACAAGAAATCAACACTTTTTTAATTATCATATTTATCATATTTCACGTAAACTGCTTAACTTAGAAAAAAAGTTAAAATTGTCTTTGGTAGAACTTTTTGCGTTGAATTCAATAAACTAGGACTCGTTGTCACAGTCAACTTGACTTACGATATAAAAAATAAACTTATGTTTTTTTAAATGGTAATCGTAGTTGGCTGTGGGCCTTTTAAAATCCTAATTTTTTTCTGAATTTAACGATATAACTTTTTGTTGTTTGTATGTTTTTCTCCTTTTGTTACCGTAAAACTTCAAAAGAAGATAAAAAAATGTGTAGTAGGCGATGGAGACAAGAACTATATTATCACACAAAGCACAAAACAAACATGAAATAATTAACAGACACAATCATGTTTACTGGGCTAATGAAAATCATCATCTAATTGGAAATAGGCGAGATCAATGTGTTTTTTTTTTGTGAATATCTGTTGAGGCATTTTTAGTGATAAAATTATTGGTCCATTCTTTTAAAATCACAATTTAAATATGGAAAGATATTTACACTTTTTACCAAATGAACTTGAAGACATGTTTAATGGTTTTCCGTTAGCATCGTATCGAAAATCGGCATATTTTCAACATGATAGTGCACCTTCACACAACTTCCGAGTTGAATGTGAAGATGCCAAAAAATGCCTGGACGCAAACGGTCAATTGAACATTTAATTTAAACGATTCGTTCTTTCATTTTTGTTTTGTGCTTTGTATGATAATATAGTTCTTGTTTCCATAGCCTACTACGGATTTTTTTTATCTTCTTTGGAAGTTTTACGGCAACAAAAGGAGAAAAACATTCAAACAATTATATCGTTAAATTCAGAAAAAAATAAGGATTTTAAAAGGCCCACAGCCAACTATAGTTACCATTTAAAAAACCATAAGTTTATTTTTTACCTCGTAAATTAAGTTGACGATGATAACGAGTGCTAGTTTATTGAATTCAGGGCAAAAAGTTGTACTAAAGGCAGTTTTTTTCTAAGTTAAGCAGTGTACGTAATAAGTGATAATTAAAAAAGTGTTGATTTCTTATCTTTTCAGGATAATTCAGGAACCAAGTCGGTACCTAAATTTTGAAAACGGTACTAAAATTTAGAATCAGATATAAAATTGTTTGCTTTAATAAGACCCTGTAAGAACCCAGGTAGCAAGCACACGTGATTTTCACGAAATTATTATAAGATTGATTTGTGGGCGACGTCATTCGACCAAATAATGACTATTTTATGACGCCATAAAAACTTTTGTAAGGAAACGTTACAATCACGTTATTTTTTGGTCATACTAATCGAGTAACTAGTTAAAAAGTAGTAGCCATACGCGAAACTATGAAATATAGTTTTATGCCAAGATAAGTTTATTATTGAAAAGTACATTCAAATATGCGCGATTGCACCAATTCGTGTACCAAAACAATACGTAATTCATCATTTTAGGCAATTCGTACATTGATTGATGTACATTATGAGATTGTTTTGTGGGCGCTCCACCGAGCGTCACTGCGATCGATATATAGCAAAATATAATTCGGAAAAATTTCAAAATTGGACTGTATGTYGAATTCATTCGGGGCGCGCGTTCTGACATCTTCAAAAAGTAAAAAAAAAATTCTAAATATTTTTCATGTATAATATCCTATACTAAGTACCTAAGTACCACCGTTTTTTCGTATATTTGGAATTTTAGTAAAAAAATTGATTTACAGGCAGTAGAATTATTATTAATTTCTGCTATACGGAAACATATGTTACTTAATTTGACTCGCTGTTTAATAGTCGGTAATATTAGTGAGAAGTTAAAAAAAAATGACAAAAATCACGGATATATCGTTTATTAACCGGGATATGGATTCCAAAATCGATTTCCTAAAGACGTTTTCAAAAAGGGTGTTGAAAACACAAATGTTCATCGGATTCAAACGTTATGTGGAATACCGGGATGTCGTCAGAATCGACTCATAAAACATAAAATGCAGTTTATCGGCAACCTCCAGTTGTTACCAGGAAGTTGAGGCAAGAGTTGTACAATGAAACTGCTTGGATCGGAATACTAATAGGAGCCCCTGCAAGATACAGTTTATGGACTGCCAATTGAAGTGTTTGAAAAATATTGGTTTACAGTGAAATCTGTTGTCTTTACCGAACATGAGGTAAGATTAGGTGAAAATGGACGTTGTACAACCGGTGAGGAGTGAACAATCGACTGCAAACTCGTTTGGTATCAATGAGTCTCAAGACTTTGATCGCAAGTCCTCCCTACGCTCCCTACTTGATGCATCAAGTAATCTTCACTCCATTTTTGATGTGACGACGTGAATTATCTTCATTCATGTCTTGACTCAATAATTCAAAATTTGTGCGAAACTTATTTGTACCTACTCCAGAAACTAGACTTTGTGAAATTTGTTGGACTTGCAACAAGTAATTATTTTAGCACTGTAACAAAACGCAAATATATTAAGGAAATGACTGTAAGTAAATAGTTTCTTAAATTAGAAAAGTATTTAGGAAAAAGTCGATACGCTCTCGCAGACTAGACTACATTTTTTATCTCTACATTTATCAGTTACATTAGAAATTGAATGAATAAGTACCTTTACAATTAATTGTTTTTCTTCATACGTATTTAGTGGGCGTGGTCCCAGTGAAAAACTTTTCTGTTGTTTCATATTTTGTTAAATGCGTTACTAACCCATAGATTGCGCCACTAGATATCACTTCTGACATTGACAAAACCATCGCGTCAGCCATTTTGACTGTCACAAGGTAGATTTATATCTGTTATCTTTTGTGAATAATCGCGATTAAATGCACATTTCATTTATCTAAAAGTTGCAATGAAAAATGGTGTTTTTTGTGTGATAATCTGTGCCTGAGAATCGAGCTGCTCTTAAAAGTAATGTGAGTGTATAACAGTTCTCCATTTTCATCACTTTCACCCATCAACTTGACATTTGTGTTGAACCTTTCCTCTTGAACAAAAATATGCCACAAAAGGACAATATTTTCGACTTATTTCTCGGCTACCGATAAGATTAATTATCTGGCGCCCTGCCAAGGAAGTACCTTGCTTAACGATAAATTCAGTGTAAACATCAATATCAATGTGTAATAGGTAAGCATAGCCTAGAAGCACAACGTCTGAACACAAAATCTTCTCCTTGAACTAGTTTAATAACAAATTAGATGTTGGTGTCAAATGGAAATACAAAACGTATCTTGGAAACATACTATTTATATACAGATTTAGCATGAAATGTATGTAATTATCTGCCCCAAAGCCACATATGTTTTATTGGTATTTGATTATGTTGACAAGTGTTGCAGTTCTTTTGACTACATCTATAAGTGTATTTGAATAATATAAAGGGGCCAAAATGAGTTGCAAATTGTGCATGGTTTTGAATCTTTGCCAAAAATGCTCCGATGAAAGTAAACAAGTTAGCTTGGGAACATTTGATAGCTTTCTATATATTTTTTATGCGAAACACATTTACTTAATTACATTTTCATGTGATGTTCGACAAATTAAACTACAATTAAGGACGGAATATTCTTGTTTTGGCTTTCCTAATATTCAGTCACCTATTGATAGCGGACTTTAATGTACATATAGAAAAACAGTGCGAAATCTAAATGTTTGACCAGGATCACACGAAACCTCTTTTGGTGCTATCCGCTCATAAAACAATAAACATTAAAAAACGCAAATATTTGGACGGATCCTAGCCTCTGAAATTCCTAATACGAATCGATTACCAAAAATAATTTGTGTAATAAATGATTGGCCTGAATCACTGACATCCTATTGAAGCGTTATCAGCCAGTCCCAAAGTAATGCTAAACTTACCGAAAGCTGCATCGTGCCATCTGGAAAGAAAGAAAAAATATTAGTCCAACTTAGTCCAAACCTTTAAGTTATTATATTTGAATAAAAAAAACGAAATAGAGAACGCAGTAAAACGTCAGTTAAGTCCGCTACTCAGTCACAAGCTGAGGGTGATTAATAATCCTTCTTACCAGCTTTCTGCAAGCTGGCGCTCCATTCTCCATTTTCTGCCCATTAATGCTCAAAAAGCACACACTACACTTGAACACACAATTAATATCCACACGAAGTTGAAAATACATGTGGATTGAATTCAAAGTTGAAAATACATGTGGATTAAATTCAGCCACGATGATCTATAGCGCTTGCCCAATTGGTCCATATTTCCAGTTTGTGAGCAAGGAACCAAATAGGGCTCGGATCGAACTCGAATAATTCGAGTATTCGAATATTCAAAAAGCGAATAATTACGTCTAGTCAAAACTCGAATATTCGAATAATCGAATACTCGAATACTCGAATGCTCGAATACTCGAAAACACCAACATTATAAAACTCACAAGGTGCAAATATCTTTATATGCACTTTGTATACTTTTATAAAATAAATGATTCATATTCTACAAGGATTTAAACAAATACCCATATATTTACAAGCAAATGAACATAATTATTATTTATCACATTTACCCTCCTGCAAATGAATATAAAATTACGTGTCTGTGGTCTGATGACTGTTGCGCGATGTTACAATTAATGTCCCGACAAAGGCGCTTTTTTATCCGTTGCGGCTAGTTGCCAAAAATGATATGAGATAACGATTTTTGTTCTTGGAAAACGAATAGTCGAGTATTCGAATACTCGAATATTCAAATACTCGGTTATTCGAATAATCGTTAGATATTCGAGTATTTGGGCAGAAATACCGATTGGGTCGATAGCCTTTTTCTGTAGGAAATAAAGATTATTTATATATTATATATATCGAGTATTCGAATAAACCACTAAACGAGTATTCAAATTTCAGATTTTTAAAAATTCCGAGCACTAGAACCAAATACCTATTTCGCCGGTTGTCCATATTAAACTGAACTAAATGTGCGATATCAATGTGTTTTTCCCATTTAAAACCCACCGAGCTACATAACTTACATGATGATATAATCATTTTCCTGCTCGCCCTTCGGATAACTCATTCTTTTGCTGTTTGATGTCCGTTTTTCATTATTTACAATTTTGTAGAAATTTACAAGTCTCGATCGAACCGATTTGGATGTTTGCTATAAACAAAGTAGCTTTCTCAGCCAAAGATGAACAAGCCGTTCATGCGACGACTTTTCTATGCACAATTAAAAACTAGCTCTCTGATCAGTCGCCCAAGTGGAAAACAACTTTTTATAAAACTTTAGGTCGCTTCAATTTGATATGTTGTCAGAGGCTGCACAATTATTAGCAGATCCAAACGTAGTCACTAATGCCAAAATACAGGATTCAAAAACGATGCGATGATTTATGAATGCTTCACTTTTACTGCCCTATTAAAAGCGGCGGCATATTTAACTTGATTTTCACACGAGCTCTTGGATCAGACTTGTTCCATTTTTGTAAAACTTTTAGTTCATGAAGCTTGATATGTCATGCAAAAGCTGCCTAAAGAACAAATTCAGATTCAAGCCAGATCATGTCTTATGAATGATTTCCTCTCCTCGCATCATTGAAAGTGACGGAAAAGTTAACTTGATTTTCACAGGAGCTCTCAGATCAGAGTTTAGCTCGCTCCATTTTTATGAAACTTGCAGTTTGTGGCTGATTTTCAAAAGTGGCCTAAAGAGCGAATTCAGATTCCAGCCAGATTATGATTGATGAATAATTTCCTCTGCTCAAATTTATTCATGTTTCAGTGTACTTTATGTCAGAAGAATTTCAGGGCAAAACAAAATTTACATTTTAATTTAAAATCACATACCGCAATCTGAAAGGGTAAGTTAAATAGGAAAACAAATACAGTTAGTTGCACGTATACAGGGTGGCTCATTTTAAAAGAACCAGACAAATAGCTCGTAAATTACAGCAAATACAAGAAAATGTTTTATACAAATGTTCTGTAATTGCTAGGGGAAAATCCAAGGGTGATATCAACTTTTTTATAGATGGTGCTGTTAACGTCAGGTGGAGAACAACTTTTTGTTTATGGATTTAAAAATAAAACCTGAACTTTGTATTTTTTATTTTCTGCAGTTTACATAATTTTAATTTGCTATCAACTGTGTTGTCTCGTGGCTAGCATGCATATCCCGTAAAAATAATACAAATAATAGAAAATACTATACTTTTTAGATCAACTCTTTAGGAATTCCTCTTCTGTTGGATTTGAGGATTCCATTTGCGTGAACTGTTTGAAAAGTTTATCGAATATTCATGTTAAGTTTCTAAATGTATTTTCCATCTCCCATATTTAACTACTATAGTCAACTCCATAAAAAGCATAATGTATAGTGGGGTAATGTGACTAATTTGATTTTCAGCTAAGATGGACACTGTAGATCAGCCGAACTCTATTTGTCACGTTCAGTCAATCCACATGTACCCTTTGCCACCGGTTGAAGCCCAAAAAGCAATGCCTTTTGGCTTGCTGGTTGGTGAAATGGTTCTTCATTCAGGAACCTCTGTGGATGGGTTAATATTTGCGACCAATTATCGACTCTATTTGCAAAATGGAGAAAATCAATATCACATCCCATTGGGGATGATTGAAATCATTGAGATTCGGGAGCTTTTTTATCTACAACTTTATTGCAAGGACGCTCGAACATATAAGTGAGTGCGATTGAGAGAGCTTCGATTTTGGCACTTACATTTCGATTCATTTTAGATGTACCTTTGAAAATAATGAAAGCGCCTTGGACTGGTATAATGAAGTATCTAAAGCCATCGAGCCCCCTCGTCACCTTGAGCAACTTTTCGCGTTCTGTCACTGCGCTTGGGCTAAAGAAAAAGGAGGAAATGAAACCGCTTTGAAAGTGGCTTGTCAGAAGAAATATACATTCGATAAGAACATGTTTGAAAATGAGGCAAGTTTCACTCTCTGTTTCACTTATTGTACCAAATTTTGACAAAACTAATGTTTGTTGTAACATTGCAGATGTACAGAATGCAATTTCAAGGCGATTCGTGGCGAATTACAAAAGCCAACGAGAATTTCAAGATATGCCCCACATACCCGCCCTACCTGTTAGTTCCGTCGTGTATAAACGATGAAATGTTGGAAAGCGTGGCGAAGTTTAGAAGCTCTAGGCGTATTCCTGTTGCAGTTTGGCGGTTAGTATCATGAGGCAAGTGTTTTACTTAGATGATAGATTCAAAACCATTACAGACACACGAAAAATGGGGCAGTTATAGCACGATGCAGCCAACCGGAAGTTGGATGGTTCGGATGGAGATCTAGTGATGATGAGGATTTACTCAAGGCCATTTCCGATGCCTGCAATTTCGATCGAAATCTACCAACAAATAGTAGCAGCAGCGATAGAGAATCGACACTATCCAATTCGCCTGGATCACTACATTCGGATGAGTCATTACAGATCACTGGCGAAGTTATACAGCAGGAGAAGAAGGTAAATATGATTGCTCGTGCTGAGATTGGGAGCTTTTTTGTAAAAAAATTGCGGTGCTTAGACGAGGTAAGCATCACAAAATGCATAACTCAAAATAAATCACTTAATACCCGCTGTTTTCAATTTTTATTTATTTTCACAACTCATCCTAAAGAAAGGTTTTTGGAATAATAATTTCAAAGTAGAAGTAATGTACAAACACATTTAAGACTCCCGTTATTCACATTTAGTCATACGGATACTCCTAAACTGCTTCTTCCAGTAGCTTAAGGCTTATAGAAATAATTTCGGTTGGTTTACTCAAACAGTACCAATATGTCTTCGAGTAAGATAATTATTTTAAACTTGGAAGCAAATAATAATATCAATCGGTAAAAGTTAGTGAGCGATATTTTAAATAAGAAATTGAACTAAATAGTTGAATGATAAAACGGATGTCTACAACAAAATAATAAAATTACATCTGAGGGAATACTGTCAATTCTATAGTTTTTGAGTTGTTCTGTAAAGAAGAACTTTCAACGGCTGGTTGGATCGTAGGCAATTTTGCAAAAATGCAACTAACTTACTGACAATTAAATATTCGGACGCACTTTAATACAACTATACTAAGGCAAAGTTTAATAATAAGTAACATCACATTTCGGTTTTGACCGGCTTTTATACGTTTTGCCTTTGAATAGACTGGAGTCTGGCAATATTTTGGTGTGTGCGAATTCCAAATTTCAGTTGTTTTTGCTTTTAATCCCAGAACTGTTTGCTGAGAATGGTTACGCAACTATTTCTTCATTTGATGCCATAAAGTTTCTGCAACATTCAAGTCCGAACTGCTTAAGAGCCACGATAAAACTTTGAAATTATGATTTCCAAACCACTTTTCGGGGCTTTAGCTGTGTGAAATATGCAATTCTTATTTCCAAAATGTTCTACAGTTGGACTTCAACTTCTTGATAAAATTTGTTGGTATTTTTCTGCATTTACGGTTCCATCAACACACTCATATTTGCTACCCATATCTAGCATTTACTCCCCATATCTAACCTTTTAGAGATATTTTGCAGTGCGCTTTAGACAGTCTTAATGAAAGGCCTCTGATTTTGTTCAAATTACCCTTTTCCGAAAATCACCTACGCATAAGCCAAATTTTGATTCCTCACTAATAATATCGTTACTCTACATTTTCGTAGTCAGGATATCTTAGATTTGGCCCAATCCAAACGTTTTTCATTTTGCATAGCTATAAATTGCTTGAGAGCTTGAATTTATCGTAAGGTGCCTCTTCTGTTGGATATGCGGATCTTTACAAGCACACAACGTTCCCTTTCAGGAAATAATACTGGATCGACCTGAACTTTTACTGCTAACATCAATACTTCCAGTCTCCCGGAACTTTTTTTTATATAAAACTAAGCGTTAACATCTTACTGTATGATAGGTAACTTGTATGAGTACTTGAAAAAAATATTTAAATTAAACATTATGATTATTCAATTGGAATTTTGGGCGTCGTTCGATAAAGCTGATGATAAATAGTTGTTAGAGCTCGTATGTACTTAATATATTATTTCGTTTGTTGACAGTAAAAAAAACTATTTTTATCATCCAACATATTTTTTTCACACATAACATACTATTTTATTTTCGCTTTTGTTCGCGTTATCGAGGATTTTCACTCTAGAACTTAACATTAAGGATTCGCTTTTTTCTTTTTTCAGTTGCTTATAATGGATGCACGTTCTTATACCACAGCTGTGGCGAACAGGGCCAGGGGAGGTGGATGTGAATGTCCAGAGTACTATCCCAACTGCGAAATTCAGTTTATGAATTTAGCGAATATACATTCCATCCGTAAAAGTTTTCACGCTTTGAGACAACTTTGTATGTCATCGGCTGAGCAGCCGAAGTAAGAAGAGATCTTGCCGATTGTGATTGAAGCGAAATTAATTGTTCTTTTCTGTGCACTTTCAGTTGGTTCAGCCTTTTAGAGGGAACTCGTTGGTTGTCGCACATGTCGGGATTAATGAAATCGGCAGTGATTTTGTCCACGGCAGTGGAGAGAGATGGCAGGCCCGTTTTGGTTCACTGTTCTGATGGGTGGGACAGAACGCCGCAAATTGTTGCATTGGCCGAACTGTTGTTGGATCCTTACTATCGCACTGTTGATGGATTTCGGTAAGAGTATGCGCAACTTTTGATCAGCATTAACCTTTTTAATAATAATTTTCGTTTCTTAGAGTGTTAATTGAACGAGAGTGGCTTGCTTTTGGCCATAAGTTTGCTGACCGATGCGGCCACTCTGGCGGAAGTGCCGATTTAAATGAAAGGTGTCCAGTATTTTTACAGGTGAGTTCTATCATATAGTGCAAGTATTTGTTACGGCTAACGTTCGAATTGATGTTAATCTCTCAATATTACCCAGTCAATATTGTATTAACTTTTAACTAATGTCGAGATTAGCCAGGTTCGAAGTTTAACTGTAACGAATATCGTGGGTTTAAAGCTAACAGTGATCAAGTCCAAAATTGCCGTATATGTGTTTGTTGAGCAAGTAATTTAAAAAATAATATATTTGTCTCCAAAAACTGAAGTCCCCAATGACACACAAACAGGTCCACTAAAATATGTTTTTAATGACCCAAGTTTCCAAAAAGATTCTGGTATAATTTTTGGGTCGGTTTAAAAGTATCACCAACAATTTATATTTTAGACTTGGTCAATTTTTGCTAGAAGCCCATATGTTTTATAGAAAATTTCCATTTGATTAAGGCTGATTTGTATTTTCAAAACCTTTTCCTGGTTATTTCGCCTCAAATTTTTGTCTTCAAAAAGCAGAATTTCCCCACGTCTTCTATTACAACTTTTTAGAGTGCTCTTATTTCACATTAAAAAAAACCAACGGAAGAAGTGGTTTTGAAAATATATATTTTATGTTGTATTTGTTTACCTGTCAAGTTGTACAGTTGTAAGGTTGGCAAAATTGGTCATTTTTATCGGTTATTTCGGAAACCGTACCAGATATCAAAAACTACTAGAGAAGTGAGTCCGATTTTGGAAAAACAAAAAGTTGTGATTTTTTTGAAAAGTTTTGATTTGTTTCTAAGATACAAGGTCAAACTGAGAACTAGCTCATTTCAACTTTCCTCTTTAGCTCCTTTGTTTCCAAAAATATTTTTAAAATGTTAATATATTTTTAATATTGAGCAAAATGTTTTTATTTGAATATTTCCGGAATTAGCCGGAATTTTCAAACTTTATAACACCATTTTGTGCAGCTCAACATGTGCAATTTTGTAATTTATTCGACTTCGTATCTCTTACTGTTTGCGAGATCCCAATGCTTACACCTCGAAATTGTAAGACCCTGTATTCAGGTAGGGACCGGAGTTCGTGGTGGTTTAATGATTGCGAGTCCTAACAACTACATATATGTTCGGACAATGAGGAGAAAATAAACTATTTATATTTGCTTTAAATATATTTTTTTTATCTACTGAAAAATGAATTAATTATCCCTTTACGCAGCATAAAAGCTGACAATAAAAACACATTTTTTTATTCTGCTTTTTCTCTGTGGCAAATTAGCAAACATGTAACAAACTTACTGATAAATAAATATTCGGTCGCACTTTAATACAACTAAATATATTAAGGCGAAGTTTAATAAGAAGTAACATCACCATTCGGTTTTTTGCTTCTTTTGCCTTTGAATCCACTAAAGTCTGGCAATATTCTGGTGCGAGCGAATTCCAAATTTCATTTGATTTTGCTTTTAATCCCGACATTTTTCGCTGAGGATCGTTACGCAATGATTTCTTCATTTGATGCCATAAAGTTTCAGAGAGCTAGAGAGCCACGGTAACACTGAAATTATGATCTCCAAACCACTTTTTTTTTAAGCTGCGTGAAAAAGCAATGCAATTTTTAATTCCGAATTATTGTTTCATAGTTTGAATTTAAGTTCTTTATTCATATTAAGCGTTTGTGAGTGTGCCATGGATGGCCCGGACTTATTGTTAGTAAAAATAAATAGGGATTGAAAATTCGGAGTGTGTTTTCGATTTGTGCAGAGCTCGTTTGTTGCTTGTATTAGTGCTTCTGTTACTGTTTGTTAGAAATTTTTACGAAGAAACTTTTTAGAAGAAATCTGTTATGTTACATTGTTAGAAAAAATAAATAGGGATTGAAAATCCGGATTCTTACTCGAAACATCAATAAAAACTTACAATGAAGGCACATCGTCGGAGGAACAATCACTTTTATTTTATTTAATTTTTCTCTGTTCTGTTGTGTAACGCATCCTTATTGTTTGTTTTTACTTCATGATTGCTATCGTCTTCAGTTACTTTTAAGTTTAAATCGTCCATTTTATACATTTTGCTCAAATTGTATCTTTGTATTATATTCGTCCAGCTTCGTTTCATTTAAACATCATTTTGTGCAGAATTGAATATAGTTCCGCATGCTGGTTGATCATTCGTGTTCGAGTGGACGGTCTCAGTTGTGTAAATACTCTTTATTTTTCGTTCGTTCGGGGGGCGAGTTCAGGATGTTGAATGGTACCGAACCAACATGGTTTGATTCAGTTTACTAATTAATTTAATTCTCACTTTTGACTTATTTTTTGTCCAGAATATGCCGATTTTTTGTAGCATTTATTTTTTTCTCTCTTCTGAAGAGATAAAAGCTCTTTTCTTGCAAAGAATGACGCCAATTTTGACTCATTTTTAGACATTTGGTTCTATTTATGTTGATCAATTTAAAATATGAATTAATTTATTAGGGTAATCATAGACCGTATAAATAATATTTTTAATATTAGCTAAATGTATTTAGGGAAATATAACTATTTAGTAGTATGTAAAAGTATTCAACAAACATTATTTCTTAGAACTGGTGAGAAAACAATTGTTTAATTGTTATCGAAGACAAGTTAAAAGTTATGGCAAGCATGTTATTTATTTCCTCTCCAATATTTAAATTTCACTGTTTGGTTTTTATAAATAATTAATGAATTATGAATAGTGAAGAAACAACATTATGATGATAGTGGAAAATACATGATCAAAGAATAAAGAAGAAAAAAAGAAAAGAAGCATAATGATTATTTCCAATACAAAAAAATAATTCTTGGGGTTTTTTATCGCATTTAGTTAATTAATTTAATAAATGCCACTATACAAACGCAAGATCTTATATGCTGTATTTGACCCGCATTTTCTTTTGCACATTTACCGCTGGTGGTACGATTGGTACCACCGACGACCTTTTGTCTACATCTCGTTTCTTAATTCAAATTTATGTATGTGCTCTTTATTGTACTGTCTTATGTCTTTTCAGATATTTCTGGAGATATCTTTGTTGATAACTCTTATTTTTTAAGTACTGGGTTGTTGCGATTCAATTTTTTTTGTTGCTCTATTAGTGATTTGGTGTGGGGGTGGATTTCGTTCACTTTTTCAGGTTTTGTGCAGAGCTCTTTTGTTGCTTCTATTAGTGCTTCTGTTGTTATTTTTTTTAGCTCGTTGATGTCTCCTGTCTGTGTATTTTCTAGCGCTTTTGTTATAGTATTTTCGAACTTTGTTGGGTTTTCTAGGTCCTGCCCCAGAATTGAGGTAGTTGGGGAAATCTATGAGCTCGCGTAGAAAGATTTGCTATTCCTGAAGTAGATCTATATTCTGCCGGGATCGCAAAAGAGTATCTACCCGCTTCCGCATACTGCAAATAATACTAGTATATCACATATAATAACAATATCATGAACGTTATGAATAATTTTTAAAGAATTGACATGAGGGATCAATTTTGTCACCCTGCATCTGAAAAACTAAAGCGTTTTGCAAATATGTATAGTTACATGCCGTCCAACTTAAAAGATTATATTTTTGACTGTTCAATAACTTTTTTTCAGTGGCTTGACTGTATTCATCAACTCATCAGGCAGTTTCCCGTGTCGTTTGAGTTCTCTCATAACTATCTAATCAAACTCGCGCAGCACACATTTTCTAATTTATATGGCACCTTCCTTTGCAACACCCACAAGCAAAGATCAAAAATTGTACACGGAAGAACGTTTTCAGTATGGGACCTATTAAGTTCGTCCAGCTTTAAAAATCATCTTTATGCGCCTACACAAAGTACAACAACGGCCAATAGGGTAAGTTTTCAATTAACTTTAAAGCTCTGTATCAGTAAATTATACATACTCAGTAGATTATGCCTCTTTAGGTCTGTGGGGTTATCGGTCAATAGGTGGTGACAAAAAATGTAACACTATTTTTTATGGGCCGACGTTCGACTATATTCAAGTCATGCTCAGGGCTCTAAAATTGAAAACAAAGGGGTTTCAGCTCTAAATTCAGCGAAATGAAACTTTCTGAAGTTGGTCACAGGGTTGTCATTGGGACACAATCACAATCGTAAGTAAAATAAAACATGACAAACAAGATCATAAAATCGAAACATCCAACACTAATTCAAAGAAAATAAAAAATAGTGTTTCATTTTTTGCCACCATCTATTGACCGATACACCGACAGACCTAAAGAGGCACTATTTACTGATTATCATCACGGTCACTAATTAACCACAACATCATTATACATACTGCTTTTTTAAATTAGGTTTTATGGCCGAAAACCCATATACGAGACCTAAGGCTTTGGTCGGAAGTATATTTGGGTTCTCTAGAAGCAAATTTTAATCCAGAGGAGGGTTCTGGAGGTGCTTGTCCGGGACCTCCTGATATGAACGGGCACATTAACATGTCCAAAACGAGATCTTATGGCGATTTATTGAATGGTGACGCTTGTCATGTATTGTATGGAGGTAGACGAAGCAGTGATCCCAGTATTAATAGAGAGTTGTAAGTGCTTAATTGATAAACGCATGATTTGTACTCTATTTGATTAACAATATTTTGTTGTTTTTTAAAGCTTCTTTATTCCCAAGTTGAAATTATCTTAGGTATTATTCAAGTATTTATAATTAGGCTCATAACGGCAAATACGTGTTTTAATTTTGCAGACGCTAATTTACAAATAAAAAATTGTATTTTTTAGAAAACTTGTCCCACATGGAAATGGAGCAACTGACACAATAAATAACACTGACGTTGCTAATGGTCATCACAATCATAACGAATCTACAAACGACAATATTCCAGATTTTCTACCCAGCGACATGGAAGATAATGCACCCGATTGCGAGCAAGATTGTATTTTCAGAATCGATGCAAATCCCACACCGCTAACTGACGATCAAATAGACGGTCTTAGTTTCGATTGTGGCTACATGCAACCAAAGGAGATAAATTCCGAAACGAATCGGAACGAAACTGACGAATTATCTCAAACTACCAATGAGATGACTCTAAATACTCAAGAAAATGTCACAAATAGTATGGCGAGCATTTTTTTAGCAGATAGCCGGGTAGATTCGAAAGAGAATGCGATGGCTTTTGGAAGTGAGGCGGAATCTACACTTAGTGAAAGAGGGTCTGAAACTGAAAACAATTTGGGTGACGAAGAATTTTTGGAAAACAATATTTCACCTGCTAGTGGGGAAGAACAGGATCATAACAATTGTATAAATAGTAGAGACATTGAAAATGACTTGTGTAGAGCAAGTGAACAAGTCGAGAGATTATTGAGCTTGGAACCATCTGTAGAGACCAGTACTGAAACTCTCGTCTCAGACCAACTGGTTCCCGGGTAAGTTTCCAATAGTAGTTTAATGTTTGATGTATAAACATATTTTTATTTTATAGTTCATCGCCTAATGAGTACAATGGTTTTGAAAAAATTCGTAGTCCTATCGATATAATAGATGGAGGAGAAGACTGTAAAATCTGTGTGGATGGAGAAAATGTTACTAACGGAAATTCTGCGTGAGTAGAAAACATTGATTTCGTAAAGTAAAAGTAGCCTTCGATGTACAGTAGAACCTTGATTATTCGTCACTTTTTTGTCTCATTGCTTGGTTTATTCGACGTGTATGTACAGGGTGTCCCAACGATAAGGTAAAGTAAGTTTACTCTTAACTGATATTATTTGTTTCAAAATTCTCATCGTAATATTGTAAAGGTACTAAACGCGCAGATTTTAAAAATATTCACATTAGACTCACACATCACACACAACATCAAGAGTGCGTAACAGAAGTTATAGACGCGTAGTAATAATTTTTTCTAAGAGAACACCCTATATACATATTACTGTGTTTTATTTTTGAACTCTTATGTAAATCCCAGTTTTGAACAGAAAAATAGAGTCCCTTTTACGTATGGAAAGTATGGATTATTTCCTAAAATAGGAGAGCTATAACAAAATGATTAATACAAAAATTGAAACGTTCTTGTCAGTCTGTTTACATAAAGAAAACATTAGTATACAGGATCTGTCAAAAAGCTACGGCAATGCAAAGTTCCTAATTATTAAATGGAACACCCTGTACGTTAGTCAATAATTGAATTATCCTCGACATTCTAAACAAAAATTGTACAATACATTATGTGCTTAAATTTAACCGTCGTGAAGATATCGAGTTGTTAAAATTGTTTTGGCTGTAACTCTCTAAATTATTAGATTCAGTGTTTTTAATTTTGCACAAACGGCGGAAGAAAATAGACAGAATTTATAAAGACGATTACTTTTTGATTCTCAGGATTAAATTGAAATTTCAAGTTTATTTCGAAGAATACCGACAATTTCGTGACTTGTTCTATCTTGCAACTCTTCAATATTTAGCGGCCTATTTTTGTAAACGGCATTTTTAGTATGACCCCACAGAAAAAAGTCAAGTTGCGTCAAATCCGGATACCGAGCTGGCCATTCAATTGTCCCGTGCGACTAATCCATTTATCAGGAAATGTTTCTTGAGATATGGAGATAATGGGTACTTCGTGTCCAAAATCCCATCATTAATATTTCAATACGCACAGTTTCAATTAAACGTGCCTTTTTAAAGCTCAAATAATTCACAAAATTCATATAAAACAAATTTTTGACTTTCGTGTCAATTACAGATTAACTGTAATTAGAGCAAAGGAATGACTGGGTGTTGTTATAATGACCTAAACTTTTTAAGGTAACTTGATCAGTGTTTTTATATTTTATTAAATAATTTGGGGAATTACATCAAAAACGATTAAAATCTCCAAAACGATTAAATTTAAACATGTAATGTGTTATACGATTTTTCTTCGCCCACATTCGTTTTATGGCGCTTTCAACCTTTGACGAATAATTGAAGTTTTACTGAAATCGCTTTTTTGCTTAATATTGCAATATTTCAATTATACTATCATTATCAATTTTGTGCGTCTTATACAGAGTTTTCCACTTGAGCGAAATAGTTTAATGACGTCAAATCGGTTCGAGGCAGGCCAAATGATCGCGTTTCATTAATTTTGCGGCCTGAACACACATGTGAAAAAACAAGTACCTACATTTTCCTAAATTAACTCCCCAATAAAATATGTTTCTATCACGATACAATATGTTTCGTTTCTCTAATTATGCGACAAAAACATTTCCGAAATACTGATTTTTTGTCAACATATAAAAATATGTTGTTATTTATTACAGCCACCGTAAATATTCTAGTAGCTACAGAATTGTGCAATCAATATACATATACATGTTTTGGATCAAATAAATATTCTAATGAACTCAGTATCCAACCATGTAAAACATATGCTTTTGATTAATTGTTATTAATTTTAGTTGTACAGGAGGTTTTTACTTTTATTCATAGGACTGAAAGTACAGGAATACCTGGCTTAAATGGATGGGATGGCGCCTGTATGCAAAGTCACACCCATAAATACAGAAGGCGAGCATCTAATTGCCAACTAGGTGAAGATGGTTTGATACCTATAAGATCACCAATAGAAGAACGATTGGATCAGATTGTAGAGGAACATAGGGTAAGCTTGGAAAATCATTTATAAGCCGAAACAGAAATGGTGAAGTGGATTCAAATTACAATAGGCATAATGACAGTATAAAAGCATCAAAGAATAATTGGTTTTAGGGAAAAGTTGAAAGGATTCTAAAAAAATACTAATTGTTAATGTAAATATTGGAATCAATAAGATTTTTATTGAAATAAAAGCGTAAAATACTGTACTCGGGCATATTGACTGAGGCACCAATCAGAGCGCACGACGTGACGCATTCGTAAATAATCCCCGCGTGTGTTCCGTGTCCCTTAATTGTTATGGCAGTCGTTCGTTCTGCATGAATTTATTGATGGTTTTGTTCTAAATAACAGAATTTAACATTCATCAACGATGGAACAATGATTTATTAAGATGAACAGCTCTAACTTGTCCAGAGTTGATACGTTCGGGTACAATTTCTTCATCATCAAAAGCTTTCTATGCTTTTTTGAGCGGAAGACATCTAATTAATTACATTTTCATGCGAAGTTGGACACACTAAATTTCAATTAAGAGTAGAATATTCTTGCTTTGGCATTTGTAATACTTCAGTCACCTATTGACTAATCTATATGTCATTGACCATTGTGTAAAGTACTCCCCACCAATTGCTAGTATGTGTTTGATAACCACCAAGCAACTGACGATTTTCGTTTCATATAAATTAATTAACAAAAAATCAGGTAAAAATCAAAGTAAATACATATTGTAATTTTTCTTTTCTAATGCTTAAATATTCAATAGGCTACCATCAAACCAACCAAGGAAATCAAACATGTGTTAATTTCAAAATACTACTTAATAACAAAGTTGAAATTCGATTTTCAAATGTTAATAATATTTGCTAAACATTTTAAATATTTTTTTTGTATTCTCCAAGTGATCCAATATAACGCCTTAAAAGGAATGACGCCAATTTTGAATCACCATGTATAGAAAAACAGCGAGAAATCTACGGTAAAAAATACAAATATTCAGTCAGATCTCAGCTCCTGAAAATCCCCAACATGAATTGATTGGTAAAAAGAAATTGTTTAATTTTGAAATATAGGAAAACAGAGCGAAATTACCTAAACTTACCGAAAGCTGAATCGTGCCACCTGGAAAGAAAGACAAATCTTTTGTAGTATAACAGAAGCTTAGTCCAAACCCAAGTTATTATACATATTTGGATAAAAAAAACGAAAAGAGAACTCAATAAAACTTCATTTGGTTCTCGAAAAACTAAACTCAGTTAAAGCTAAACGATTTATAGATTAATAATCCTTACCAACTTTCTGTAAGCTGGCGTCTCATGGCCCCATTTTCTGCCAATTAATCTTCAAAAAGCACACACTACACTTGATCATACAATTGAATATCGACACATGAAGTTGAAAATAAATGTGTATTAAATTCAAATAAGGTGACCGCCCCCACTTGCATAAGTGGAACCAAATCGGTCCATATTTCCCGTTTATGAGCAAAGAACCGAAGACCTATTTCACCCGTTGCCCATAATAAACTGAACTAAATGTGCGATATTAATGTTTTTATCCCGTTCAAAACGCACCGAGCTACAGAATTTATATGATGATATAATCGTTTGCCTGCTCGCCCTTTGTATGACTCATTCATTTGCTGTTCGATTTCACTTTTTTATTATTGACAATTTTGAAGAAATTACAGTTCTCGATCGGACCGGTTTGGATATTTGCTGAAAACAAAATTGCTTTTTCGGCCAAATGTAAGCAAGCCGTTCGGCGAGTTTTGAATGCACAATTAAATGCTAGTGCTGCGATTCTCTATGACATTTAAAGCGCTGTAAAGAATGTAACTGCTTGATCTCGAGAAATGTATGAACAATGGACTTCTGTATTGCTGTATAGGACCTTACAGCGATGTAAGTTCGGCTTACATCGCTATATATATACAGGCTGGACCTGTGTGAGCCAAACCTCAATAAGGATCAGTATTGCATAATTTCAGGCTGATGAAATTTTTGTTACTGGATAATAGACTGAATCTGTGTATATGTATGACTTGCCTGTAGTGTCGCCTTTTGTAGAATTCATTGATATAATTATTTACTCACGTCTTACACCAATTTTTACTTATTTGATTGTTATTTTATATTAGTCCAATATATGATAATAAATAATACCAAAGTGCAATATTTTTGAACTGTAATCTTCTTTCTTCAGTTATCCCTCTGTCTTTAGGAGCGTCAACAAAGTTATTCTTGCCTGATTTGTTGCTTTTGCGTGCCACATAATGATAAATAATTTTTCAAAATGCAAAATGTTGGTTATGTCAACTTACATTTTATCAGACGCTCCATTTTTATGAAACTGAGTTCCTGTGACTTGATATGTTTTGCAAAAGCGGCCTAAAGATCAACTTCACATTCAAGCCTGATTTCATCTGCTCGTATCATTGAAAGCGACGCATAGTGGAGTATTGATATTCAGTTCGGATCAAAATTGTTTTTTAATCAGATATTTCTTTAAATCGCTTTAAATTAAAAGCGGATCATATAATAAGATCAATTTTTATATTTTAAAGGATGAACAGTTACTTGCATTATACAGGATTAGACAAACATATTTAATTGGCAACAGCTAAATATTTAAGAGAGGATTGGGAGCATTTTTTTACAATCTTACCTACGTCGAAATTTTTAAGTATACTATCCAATAATTAGTTTAAAGTCTTCCTCTCAAAGGCCTAGCTTTCATATGTTAAATGAAAATAACATGTTTTTTTATCTAATGTTTAAATTGCCTGCATTTTAAAAACTAAATAAAAACATGTTATTTCTTTTTATTTAAAATAGATTGTTTGAAACTGAG